TTTATAAGAGCATTACAAAGCAGGAGATAAGAGACAACTACCCAGATAATAACGGATTCTTAAAAGCTCACAGAACTACTTTCAACACTACGATCCCTGGTGGAAAGCTCTTTGTCAAAGTCCTTTTGGAAAGAAATATCCGATCTATTTTCAACGTTGTATTGCTACATAAAACAGTAGACTAGTACCGATGAGCTCCGAAAACCCGACGTTTTAATGTGGGCGATAAAGTGATCGTCAGTTCACATCTCGGAAAAAATCGACGGGAATCATCGATAATTGTGTAAAGAATTGAGAATGCTTCCTATTGAATCCGAGGAGTATTCCGAAAAAGCGTTGTATATGCGAACCGAATCCACAAAGAAATAACCCGTTTCATAACGTTTCTACTTGCGAATTCGCCAGATAAAAATTATGTTATACTCAATATTATAAACTCTAAATATCCCCATTTTTCGGTAAATTTTTGACTCTTGACCAATAATCACTTCCCTTGCTTCTGTTGTCTTTAGGCCTGTGAATGTTGGTGTTCTACGCGCCCGAGTGCCGATAGTTGCATACCGTATGCTTGCATAACCAGGTAGAGAACGTAACTTTTTACATCCGGTTTCCTATGACAGTGCATGGAGTTTCGGTGAGAAGTAAAACCGCTTTTAACGCAGCATGATTTTGTGAAAGACATTCTTATTTCTTTTTTTGGTTAAAAATATCTGGCAGTCTCATATCATCAACAATAAACTTAAGTGATGTTTCTTAATTAATCGAGTCATTAGCACAACTAAAACCACTCGCTTTGTTCCCACAAACACATTGCGCCTTATTCCTCAAATAGTAAATTTCGGTTTCATAAAAATGTTTATTTTGGTAGTGCTTTCTACTTTCTGACGGCCTGCAACTGCTTGCACATTCACTTCTTGGTGGAAAAATAGAGAAACTTCCTGCCGGTTCTCTGTATCAGTAGATGCAGACTACATGGTTGGGGTAATTAATGGTTATAGACTGCATGACATGGCTCAGAATTGATCATGATGGCGTAGGTGTATATGTGAAATTATGGCCTACTATGATATTAGCACTGCTCTAATAATAGACATAATCCTTAAATTGTAGATTTGTCATGATGCAACTGCCTAATCTATAAGATCTTACGTGGAACTCACATTATTATCTACAGCACCTCATCGCATCCTAACAATTACCAATACATGATGGAGAACAAGCTTAGGCTAGAGACAGAACAATATATTTAATATGAATAAAAGATATAAGATAATATTCAGCAGGGACCACGCCTGCAAGGCCGAGACATGCCATTCGATCAGCTTGGACTAATTCACTTCATTATCCCCGCCTTCTCCATTCTTCTTTATTTCTCCGCGTTAAATGTTGAATGCCTATTTTCTAATATTGTCTCGTGGTAGGGCTCAATCCCACTACAATACTCTCCCAGCAGAATCAACGTGACGTTGGTTTGATACCAAACTGAGCGAGATCGTCGCCCGCCGGAAGTTATCAAGAATACATATAAATGGTTATCAAAAAATGTTTTAGTGCGTGAAAAGTGATAGTTTTGTGAATTTTGGACAGATATATAAGAGCAAGCATAGGTGTATCCATAAGAGACATGCTCTAGACTCAAAGTTCTGACTTACCATAGACTATTTATTTATATCTATACCTAACGGCTGATGGTGCATACAAGTTAGTTGCAAATATGCAGTTTAGTATGATGCGGAATACGATTTGATTGAGATATAGTGATCATAAGTTGTTGGCGATGTAGTTCCGCGAGATGACTTCGGCTAATAAAGTCTTTACAAGACGATCAACAGAGAGTGATGCTCATGTGATTATCAGGAAGAACATAAGTTGTAGCCAAGGGGAGTACACTCCTAACTCATTTCTATGATAATGACTTGAACTCTAGTCAGTGTTGGGGTAAATTCAAAAGTGATGTTTGCAGTTTGCAGGAGATTTGCTCGACTGCTTATACTGATTATTGGAATGTATGATTGTGTCGCTAAACCTCCAATTAGACTGACAAGGTCTTTGACTGATATATATATATATGTGCTTAGACCTACGTTGTAGCTGACTGACACAAATCTCACCTCGTCTGACAACACCTGTAAATTTGTCTTTTAAGTCCGTGATAAACCCGAAGTAATCATTTTTGACACCATTTAAATTCTAAGGTGAAGGTATGGAGCTGAGATTCGCAAATATATTAAGACGTATTGTAAATTCAGTGCATTAACAGCTCTGGAGATTCGCAAAATTAGTTTGTTGCATAACTTTTAACGGATAGATGCATCAATCTTCGTGACAAGTCATGAGGTTATATGTACCCGTTTTGAAACTTATCAATCTGTATAGACTGAAATTGATGCGCTCTTCCAAAAGAACATGACAATGGAGTAGATGCTGTTAACATAACCATAAGCTAATTGCATCGCGCGTGGCCTTCTGGTGTGTGTTATTTTGACAACTACAACCTTATAACTGTGATTTACCACACAGTCCAAACAGTGTAAACTAAGCATATTCGATTTTGTATAGACTTTTTATTGTGCGTATTATCATGTCGATTACCGTCACAATGGTCATTACCTGCCTAAGTCCTCTAAGGACCCAATCAACCAACAAAGGGGAAATAAAGGGGACGAAAGCGGAAACAAAGGGGAAATGTCTCTTTTTCGCCTTCACGTCGGTTATTTAGGGGAAATATCGATTTTTCCAACATATGTCGTGAACTTGGGAAACATTCGTCGACACTTACACGTAACGTACGGTGTCTCAATATGTCGCATCCCGTACTAATGTTTCCATAAACGTCGACCAAATAAAGCACCGTTTAATAAAAAACTATTGTCATAAACACAAGTAACAAAAATACGGACACATGGATTTGGCAGAGTTGCATATACACTGACTTTGTTGTATGTATAGCTTAAGTGTTCCGACATGCTTGGTAGCCATCAAAAATAACTTACGTGATGCGAGTAAGTGACATGCTCTCCGTTTTTCATGCTCATTATAACTAATTACCTTGTAAGTCCAATACGATGAGTTCAATTAAAGTCACTGAGAGAGCTCGTAGACGTAGGGCAACTGTTAACTTGTCAAGCGTCCTTGGCTGTCGTAGATCGACTTATAACAAACGGTGGTATAAATTCGAACAGCTCTCATGAAAAACGTATAACTCGCTTTCGTTTAGTCAGTTTGCTAATGAAAGTACGATCCAGGGTAACTGACTTAAACAGTGGTGTATATTTAATTTATAGCAGTCGAGAGAGAAAAGAACAGGTATGTACTAATTTTAAGTGATAACTTCCCTACTGCTCTACAGATACAGTCGACAGTGTTAACGAACATAACCGTATTGAAGCTTCAAGTAGCTGGCTGTACCAAAACAAGTCATTCAGATATCGTTGCAACTTCTTTTGTTCTTTACACTTCGGAATTCACAAGAAGATTAATTCAATTCTCAACAGCCGAATAGGCGTGGCTAAAAGAAGTAATCCGTGGAATGTTTTTTTATGTTCAACTTATTTTTCAATAAACATTTTTTTGAAAATGAGCTTACTTTTTTACTTACATGGGCAACTTTACTTAAATTTTGAGTTTGCTTGATTTATAGTGAACTTGTAATTAAATGCACATGCCTTATAAATAATACATCACCTGTTTATTCTTTTGCAGATCTTTTGAAATAATAATGAATTGGCAATTACAATGAAAATGCATAACGATTCATTCTCAAGCTTCTGCAATAGTGTTGTATAATAATACGCTTTTTCTTTTCAATAAATTTATTGAAACATATACCATTCTTCACATGGATTACAGTTTTAGTGTGCTTTGTTGTGGGAATAAAAGCGAACATAGGAGGCCTTTAGGGTTATGCTGAAGGTGTTTTAACAGTTGGAGCAAACGTGGAAAATACGGCGTATATTTAGGCAAAAAGTAGACAATTCAGCGACTTTTGAGAGACAGAGCGAAAAAGGTCGGAAATCCGCATTATTTACCCGGAACGGGCGAAAAAGCAGACATTTTGACGCGTTTCCCCTTTGTTTTCCAACACATCTTCCCATTTGTTTCCCCTTTGTTGGTTGATTGGGGAGAGCAACCTAGGTCATTTGATCATTAGAAGCTGCGATATCAGTACTATTTGTCTAGGGGATTGGGGAAAATGCCACTTTCCTGTACATTCTAAAGTAAATAAGCGCGTCAACTTCTGGAGTCTTCACGATCTAACCACATTTTGAAACCCACGACGCAGTTTCAGCGGCTATTTTTATGGTGGTGATGAGTCTCCCTGAACAAGTACGGAGGCTTGCAACAATATGGGCCCTTAGTCAAAGGTACAGATACAAGGAGTATCATCATCACTTGATATTGCACTGACTGGGTACCAGGAAACTGAGACATGAACTAATCATAATCTAAAACGTGCTTGACGCTCTAGTCCCTCCCAATAAACGTGTCTTAATTAAAACTTAACACTGTACTTCAGGAGGAGACCTACGACGAGTCAGACATCGAAGTGCTAATAAAAAGCAACACCGCACATCTCCCCATGGGTCTCCTATATCTGGAACGCTCTCCAGAACTATATGACCACAACTCTGTCTTTTATAATTTTGGTGGGAGACTACATAACTATGTACATACACATGGTTCATTATCTTTCACTCACCCGAACTGGGAAATGTGCTCTTTACATATTTCTGCGCTTGCACCATATGCCACGGCTTATCGATTCTTATTGTTCGTCATTATAAGTATCACACTAGATGATCTTATCTAATATAATGCAATAAGAGATATCTCCGTTCATTCGTATATTTCATATATTTTACTAATTTATATTCTCACCTAATTAATAAATTAATAGACTTATCGGTTTATTTTCTTCTACCACTGCCTACTCATTTCTTATTACTAATGGAAGTCTCAAATTTTGGATGCTGTGACCAGTCAGTCGACTGACTTTTAACATGGTAGCTGCTAATTTAGGTTATCGAGAACAAATGCATTTATACTAAAGAGTCCTTAACAGTCAACTTTACTAGGCTAAGTGAAGACGGTAAGTTAGACCGCGAAAACTGAAAGATACTAGTCGACTTGAGCTGTAGCTCAACATCAGTAGGCGAACGCAAAGAAACCAATCGGTTTATAATAACTCGACACAAAGATATTGAACATCGAACAAACGATTAGGATATCAAAACAGTTTATATGATAATCAATAATGGAAGTTTTTAAGGAAAAACTTGTAGCGTGGCGTTGAGTCGCGGTTGACTAAAATCACCACTACAAGAAGACTACGTGCCAGTTAACCAATAAGATCCCCTAAGGCCAATATCAGAAGGCAGATGATGGCTGTAGTCGAGATGTTTTTGTTGGCGATCTCGTAGTATCGAAAAAATACCAAGATCATGCCAACGAGTAGAAGCGGATTCGATGAGCAGACGTAAGCAAGAACAAGGTTACAACCAACGGAAGGAAGAATGTCTCTGGTACAGTTAAACAAACAAGTAAAGTAAAACAATCTCTGGTACCATTGGTTATAATAGTAATTGTTTTCACTACACCAATCGCGTTCTGATGATAAAAGTTGGTCAATACAAACTAAATCTTCTTGTGACTGCATGGTAAGAGGATTAAATCACATCAAACGACAAATATTCATCACAAAAATCCAAAGTCTGGGAATGTTGAAAGAAACTTTATGTGAACAGTCAAAATTTAAAATTATGCACAATAAAATTTCTTAAGAAACTAAATACTTCTAATAATTTTCTAAATTTTCCCAAATAGATAAAATGATATCTGAATATCGTTTGAAGGACATCAACCGTCCTTGGGCATCTTTCCCGTTTGATTTTTGTGCGTGTGGATACAAATCATATTGACTTTTCTCTGGGTTTGTTCATTCATTTCTTCAGCCCGTCAAGTTGTGACGGTGATAGTTCATCATAATACATGACTGTTTGTCCGTAAATCATCTGAACTCCGTACATAGTTCGCAGTAAGTGGTCCGTTACTTTCCGTTAACTCCTGCAGCATAACTGTAATTTTGTCTGTTTTGTGAGAGCCTATGGTTTTTCATATGTTGCTTAAAAAGGATGTGTTTGCGGAAGTTAAATTCGAGTTTCGAATCAAGTAACTGTAATATATCTAGTAGTGAGTTTACAGCAACGTTAACATGCTATTAGAACGCACTGATTGGATTCAGTTCACAGCCTAGTATATTAACTAATACTCAGTTTTTAAATTATAATCTCTGCGCTAGTATTGCTCATCCTAAACCGGGTGTTATTTGGATGGATAAAATTACGTATAAATTTTCAACAGATTATCAATTATGTTGCATGATACTACAAGGACTCCCTGATCTGTTACTTATGTATATGTAGGGATATGTAAAAGACATTTATAGTTAGCATACTGATTAAAATCTGGCGTCAGCGAATGTATCCACGGATCAACTGATTCTTGTTGCCTAACCAATTCCCTAAATGAGGAACGAAATAACTCAGGGTAGTTACAACTGTAAAAAGCAGCATTTAAATTGTATCACATACATCATAGTCCTAACTAAGTTCTTCATACTTGGGTGTGTTTTAGAACGAAAAGTATTAATAGCGTTCACTTATGCTCTCACTGGAATTTCTAACGCAATTTTAATAGTTAAAATTCTATTTATTCATTTTTATAGATAACCTTTACACAGTGTGATAAGTCGTCAGATAATGGAAGCCCCATTATGTTTAGCTTTTATCTGAATAGCTGTGTCTGACTTCTCGTCAAAACTCTTGGGTTTAAGTGGATCAATTTTGAAAGTAGTTGTGCACAAATCACTCAATTTACTTGTTACACCAATTCAGTGATTACTGTTCTCTTAATAATTGGAGACATAGCTCATTAGCTAAACCAGTCGTCAATCACTTGACCGGTAATATGTTCGAGCTCCTCCACTTCGGTTTTTTAGCAGTATTTGTTAACGGTCTGTTAGTAGTGGATATAATAGCAGAACCCCTGAAAGTGTAGTTTAATCACTCATGTTCAGTGTATAACCTGGTACAGATACACGTTGGGTCAAGTTGTCGTAACATGTTAACACGAAATGAACATAAAAAGACGAATTGCAAGAGACAGAGGTAATGTAGTGGCTGTCATAATAGAAAAGACTGAACATTGAGAATACTGTTCGATAAGACAAAGCGGAGAGGTTTGTATAAACAAATGCTGAAATCTAAGCTCTAGGGTAGAATACGAAATGAACACACATTCTGGCGTGATCTATAGTGAACCATGTCTCCATCCCACAACCGATATATAATATATATATATATATATATATATAACGAAGGTCGACTATGTTGTCATTAATGTGTCACTTTCTGTTTTATTTTTCTTTTCTAAGCTATGTCTGAGGAATCTGAAACAAATGATAAATATATGTCATACTCTCCAGAGGATATTTATCCTACAACATCTAACAGTAATTCGGATGGTATGTCAGTTCTGTGTGCCATTGTCTTACCACACTTTTTGCTTTATTTTAACCAACAATATTAAGTCCGGATCTTGGGAACGAAAACAGTTTGCCAAGTTTAGATAATTGATTTACTGTTAATAATAGGAACATTTTTCATACTGGATCGTTGCTGCTAGTTGTTAATGGAAAGTTTTGCTTAATTTGGACTTTACTTGGTTAAATACTCTTTTGTAACATATTTTTTGATACTTGAGAAAGCTGACATCTGACCAAGTAGCTGAATATACATTATTCATTGGATTCCTTTGTCTGTTGACTGTCTTCCGTGAGAGTGAAGTTCAGTTACTAGAAAGCAACTTATTTCATATTGTCTAAATCTGCCTTCCGACGGGATTTATTTGATAATTAAGTTTGTTGATTCAAACCTCTCAATCTACTAACCTTTCATTCATATTTTAAAAAAAGCAATCAATTTTTTGAACACGTATAAACAAAAGCAGACGAAATAAAATAGAAACTGCGTCAAATTTATACATAAAACTCTCTGAGTAGGCATATTTTTCATCGGTTCACTGTGAGGAAATCAATAACATTAGAAGTATAAGACTAATATAAGTGAAGTCAACTGTAGTGTGTGACAGAAGTAATAAAAACCAGAAGAAAATAAGTAAAGATAAATTTACCGTAGATGTAGATCAATATTGTGTTACGAACATAGCAACATCTTTCGAAACATTACTTGCTGACCCCGTCGAGAAATCCTGCACTTTCTTGTATCACTGAGATCAACAATTAGTGAATCTATGGATCAATGTCATGTTTCAGACACAAATCACATACCTCAGTTAATTAATATTAGAAACCACAATGGATGAACACAGAACTAAGTTCTATATCGCCGGAAAATGATCAGTAGTCGATCAAGAAGAGGGAAATAGAAGTAAACACCAGCAGGGCTCTATAATTTTATCACGCTAATATGAAGTCATCGTTAAAGCCAACTCATCACTAGTCACACAACGATAGAAATTCGTGGAGTGTTGATACTCATTTCTTTTATTCTGTAACCCTTCAAATATACTATGTGAAGTCACGTACGGTAATCGTTCTGAGAATATATTTTAGCAAACTGATTCGATTTGAACTTCATCTGTCTATCGAGTGGTTGTTGATAAGTTTAATTGATAGATCTTATGATAGCATGAAACATTTCCACATGTGTTAGGTTGATGTTTGGTTATGAGATTGGTTGTCTTTCAGATTGTCGGGAACTCCATTTAGTTGGTGGTGAGCATTAGCTCATTCTGATAAACTCACCGATCAACGTATTATCTCTATAGTTTTCCAATAATTAGCAGACCATGAGTGAGGTTCTGTTGTGTCATTTTAAACATGATCTTCAAAAGTTAGTAACTGTTCATCAGTTGACTTTTCTCGATCAACAGCTTGTGGGAAAAAAGTAATCTTCAAGCTGTACAAATTTCTCCGTAAAATGCAATTTGCGACAATCGTTTACATTCAATCGGGCAACTTGCTGCGAAATGGATTTCCCAAAGTTTCCTATGGGACACCGTAACTGATAACATCAACCAAAGGCACCAGTCACTTTAGATTTCGGTTTCTATTAATAATTGCTCAAGTTAAAAGTTTAGATGATTAGGCTTCGCTTCACCGTGGGACTTACAGTTCTGTAATTGACCTTGTATAATAGTTTTCATGTGGATAATCGTAAGGAGTTTTAAGCTAAGATGAAATAGCTGTCTAGTGCCCCTTTGATTTTATTGGTTCTTCAGTAGACATTAGTAGTAATTTGCTAAATATCATTTTCATACTCTTTATATTATCAAAGATTTGACGTAAATTGAACTTTACGCCAAAATTAAATAATGAATTTGCAAGCTGTTTACATAGTTAGGGAGTTTTTCTTCATTTATGGTAATAACAAAGTTTCTACTGGATACTATTCAGTTGAAAATATTGATGAAATATTGTTAAGTTTTTTTCTTTATGTTAATATAATTTATTAATTTCTTTTTCACAATATTGTAGACCACACAAATTATCATCCTGATGAGATTTCATATAAAGTTGAAACGTCCAGTTCATCACCTCCTTGTAGTTTTATAAATGTCACACGTGAGCTTCCAAAACCTCGTAAACAACGAGTACCAAATAGTGCAATGGATGAAGCTACTTTAATTGGTAGGATCCTAAAATACTTCTCCATTTACAAGTATTTTATTATTTTTCATGTTACAAAATTGGTATATTCGTGAGCTAACCTACTATTTCCTAACTCTTACTAACTTTGATTATTACTATCCTCCTCTTTCCTGCCTCGCTAATTATAGTTAGAAGTCATGTTGTTGTTTTGAAGCTTTATTAATCAAGATCCAGTAGAATTTAAAATATATTTACGATAATTATATATAGATTACAATGATTATGATTTAGTAACCGAGTAATCGTAAATAAACACAAATCATAGAGAAAAACCGATTGAAATTTCACGAACAGAATTCATGCTGAATAAAATTATGTAACGAAAATTTATCTTTAGTCGATATTGGTTTTCTTCCTTTTAATTTTTAGTCGGCGATTCCACATCCTCAACAAAAGTAAACATGTATATGTCTGTGAGTATATTGTTCTTTGAGTGTAGCAAGTTTAAATACTAAGTCTATTACTGCCCCCAAAAGCCCTGGTATGGCCGATAGTGGGGAAAGTCCGCTCCCCCTCTCGAAATGCTTTTACACGGCCACGCGTATACAGCCCCTGTCAGGGAAGTCCTACTCACTGCCTTCTCGTGGCGGGGGTGTTATTTAGGAAATTGAGAGCACGAAAAGCGAATGTCTGGCGCTATAACCGGATCCAAAACCAATGGTGCACATGAGCTGGCTGCAGTATCCTGAAGGAACAAATGGCGTATGAACCAATCGTTGGTCTCCGGCTTCCATGGGACTGCATCTCCTTACGATGCTCCACTGCCTTGTGGGTCAGACGTTCAGGTCGAAGGCTCGGGGTGTGGCCCCCTAAGAAAACCACGTGTTTCGGTTCGGGCACTCGGGCAGTATCACAGCCCTCACACAAATCAATTGAGATTTGTGTGGCGCATATGTATTTGGTGCCTTCTTGTACCGATATTTATGTGTTAAAATAAATAAATAAATAATAATAATTCGATTACTATGTGGATTTTTTGAGGTGGGTTTTAAAGATCAACCAAGATTGCTAGTCATTTTGTATAAAAGTGATATGAAAGAACTCAGTTATTCGCTCAGTAACTTTTGTCTGAAGTGTTTTTTTGTTATATGGATTTATATAATTATCTGTATATTGGGTTATATATTTGTGTTATGTAGTCGAAATTCATCGGCCTATGCTCCATTAGGAGTAACGGGTGTAAATAAGTAAGTAAGTCGAAAGTCAGTGAAAGACAAAGTTGGATACTTCGCTTAATCTTTATTTAATAGTCAATTCTCATTTATTTACAAATATGTAAAGGTAATAAGAAAAGCTGAAGCACGAAAATTTAAATTAACTCTAATTAAACCCATGCTAATCTGAATGGGACATAAAAAAAGTCATAATGGTCGTCAACATGACGTCTGGATTCAATTTTTCTCTGCCCAATTTACCATACTTCACTTCAAGATAGCCAAAGCGGAGACCACTAAGATAAAAAAAAGACAATGGAAGTTAAAGATAATGCCAAATGCAATAAAAAAAGTCAACCATCCAAAATATCATTTAAAAGAAATGAATGAGATCAAAAAATGAAAAGTGTAGAAATACAATAAAGGTTTAGAGGAAGACAGCTGATGAGTACGATTACTCTACTAGTATGGATCTTAGACCTAGTAATTCAGGGTCGTACTTAGTGGTAGATTAAGAGTCCCAAAATGGAAGTCTGGGTATACCACGACGCTAGTGAGGCATGCAACCAGTGGCCTGATAAAATCACTGACTGTCAGATTAGGCTGTGCAGACTACCTAGTTGAGATTTGCGTGTTTATCGTAGGTAATGGTTAGAGAAGTTGGGTAATATGACTCAGAATCGATCACAATAGCACAGATACATTCACACTTTGTCTTCCCTTAGATCTTGTGTTTACACATAATCTTGAACTTCCTGTCCCGGAAATTCATGTTTTTCGAGTCATATTCTCTGTCTAATCTTTTCTACTTCTACTGATATTATTAACACTTAATGGTGCTGTGTATTTCTCGTTAATTTTATCTCATTGTTCTGATATGGTGTGATAACTTGAACTGACGTACGTATGTGCCAAGTTCTACATTGATTATGATTGACTTACTATGGACTCCCATATTATAAGTGAAATTTGCTGTTTCCACTTACGTATTATTCCTTTTTCTAATAATAATAACTTTAATCGTCCAGTTGTACTCATTACTTCATATTTCAGCTCTTAGACCATTCAAATGTGATGAATGTGGTAAACGATTGGAAAAGGCTCGAACATTAAGATTACATAAACTATCAGTACATGAAGGTAAGTTGATACACTGACCTTTCCTGAATAAATAGGTCTAAAAGGTGTATTGAAAAGTATATTGTAGTGGATTGTCTTCGAGATAATGACTTACGAAATAAATCTCAACTTTCTATAAATTTCAGAAGGCGATATAAATCGTCGACCACAGTTTATTGTTGAACAGCGCGGATCACTAAGCTCGAGACACACGAAGTGAATCCGAGCAGAAATTTTGATGCGAGAGAGCAAGCAAATATAGGGGCGAATTAAGAGTCAAATCGATAAGATTCAAGCACGTATGTATAGGAAGGTGAATGATTCGTCAATCTATTTGAGCCAGTAAGATGGATATGTACGTAGTCCGTAACACGTGGTCAAGCATACAGACATGGTAATAATCATATGAAGATATAGACAAATGGTTACTGTCCGGATAACATTGTCAAATATATTAATTGGAGGGCTTGACAAAATTAAACAAATATAGTTAATTATAAATTATATTTGAAATAATCTCAGCGATTGAAATTTGAAATAATTCCAACGTTTCGTCCAGCTAACTTGTCTGGACTTTGATTTTGATTATTACCCTGAAGAAGTCCAGACAAGTTAGCTGGACGAAACGTTGGAATTATTTCAAATTTCAATCGCTGAGATTATTTCAAATATAATTTATAATGACTTCTTTATACTCGGCGCCCAATATCTGTCAAACTATTCGTTCTAATCTTGACGAATATTCGTATAAAATATAGTTAAGTTTAGGTGAGGTGTTATAACGTCATCAACCTATATAACTCAAGTTACTGCAAAACTACCATCAAAAGCAAGGGAGCAAACCATATCTGTAGCTATTTCATCAGTTCGCATGTTTTTCCCCCGACCGCATTTCTATCTTGACGTGGTGAGCGGGCTTACATATCGTAACTTTCCCAGTCAAGTTATGTTGGCTAAAACTTATTCAGATCCTATCGTCCCAGGTATATAGGTTAAATGATGTTGAGACTAAAAGAATGAATTAGGAAAATGGAGTCGTACTACTGACTGTACTGGAGTATAATCACAGTAATGTGTCTCTCAGAAAATTGGCTCCTGTGGTGACTTCTCCTCACAGTAGAAGGGAGGAATCAGAGTACGTCGACCTTTAAAATTTCCCTCTGCTTTCCTCTTGGGTTTTCATGTCTAGTGATAAGGCCTTTGGAGTATGGTGCTAACACCGAGAACTACTCGCAAAAGATCTTGGATGATGATCTTCTAATAATTGTCCCTTTGGCTCTGTGGTCGCTCTCCTAGGTAGACGAAACTATTGATAATCCAGTTTCTGCACCAGGCACCTCAAGAACGGCTGTTCTTCCACGGTGTGTGGAGACCGGGAGTGTCAAATGTCCACATATTTCCAACACCGCTTGACTGTACCTGCTAAAAACAACGTTAATTTTATTTCGCCCCTGGTTGGGAATGTAATCGTCTATTTTCGTAGTTTTAAACAAATCATAACCTGATAATGTCACCGATAGACCCCAATCCCCTATTCGTGACTTAGCCGGGCTTACTAGTTGCTTTTTCATCTAGAACCTTTGGAAATCTATTCATAAATAATCATTCACTTCATAATAATTACATCTTTTTGTTATATCTCAATGAGTAGAAAAACTGTATTTCTGACGTTACGTGACTCAAGGTAAATAAATAAATGACCAAATTAAATTAAATTATGTTAATTTAATTCGGTTATTTATTTACTCTGAAGAAGTGGGTTACATTAAGTCACGAAACATCAGTAATACAGTTTTTCTACTCATTGAGATATAACAGAAAAATATATTTATTATTAACTCTCTCTACACAATGCTCAAATTATTTGAAACTATAAAGTTCTAACCTTAGCATTGATACCCACAAAACCATTCATTTGGTTGGTTCGTAACTCTGACCTTTTTCTTCGTGCTAACATTTTCCTGAGAACTTTTAAGAACTGAACAACACAGAATACCCGTTTTGTATCATATGTACAGCGTATAGCCTGACACATGTGCATTGGTTCAAGTAACACCACTTCAATGCTGTTCTGTTTTAAATAAACGTTAATACGATTAGATGTATTTGCATTTTATTTATCTCAAAAGGTTTCATAATCAAGCTTGTGGAATATACTACATCTGTTTCATCCCTTTCGAAACTCGACCTTTGATGTAATGCTAAAAGAATAAAAGGTTTTGTCTTCTGATACAAAGTACGATAATACTAGATTGAGTGATAGACTGGGCAAACTAGATCACGTCCCTAAATGCCCTGGTACGGCCGAGAGCGGAGAGAGTCCGCTCTCTCTCTCGAAATGCCAGGGAAGTCCTACTCACTGCCTTCTCGTGGCACTACTGTTGTTTACGAAAATGAGAGGACGAAAAGCGAATATCCGGTGCTTTAACCGGATCCCAATCCAATGGTGCACATGGGCTAGCTCCAGTATCCTGAAGGAACAAATGGCGTATGAACCAATCGTTGGTCACCGGCTACCATGGGACTGCATCTCCTTACGACGCTCCACTGCCTTGTGAGTCAGACGTTCAGGTCGAAGGCTCGAGGTGTGGCCCCCTAACAAAACCACCTGTTTCGGTTTGGGCACCTGGACAGTATCACAGCCCTCACACAAATGAGATTTGTGTGACGCATATGTATTCGGTGCCTCATTGTACCAATATCTATATATTAAAATAAAATAAATAAATATCACGTCATACATCGGTTAACAACTCCGCTTAACGGTTTAGAACCAGATTATCGACCAGATACTGGTTTTATTCACACAAATACAAACAGTTAATTCGGTGTAACTCAGGTTAAAAATCAGAGTTACAACATAAAACTGTTAATTGCATGACAAATTATAGATGGGCTCTCTGCCTTCACTTACTAACCAGTCAGAACTCAGTTTCACCCGATATATAGTCCACTAGGTATATCTGCATTCGTGTTTATTTTCACGTGGAGATTGATACTCAATACTCATAGCTTCAAGCTCCAAAACTACTGAGCTACAATGATCTGATAGATAGCTCTACGTAAATAAAAACGTTGATAGGTTTTGGATCGAACTTATAACTTTCAGTCATTATTGATTGAATATTCACTCTTATTAGTTCATTTAAGGAAATTAAGTAAATGTTAATTTTATTTCATATTGTTTAGGTCGTAGACCATTTGCATGTGATATATGCAATGCTTGTTTTACACAAAATGGTCATCTAAAGCAACATATACAAACAGTTCATAAAGGTAATTTATTAAACACACGTATATGGTTTTTACAAAATTTCCATCATAAATAAATCTATTTCTATTAAATTTATTGTAGCTAATGTGAAGTTTATTTTCTCGGTGCGTTTTAGTAAACAATTGATGTAATACAACTTAGTCAGTTAGTCAGCTACAGTGTAGGACCAGGCACATATATACTCTGTCTAAGTTGCCATACCTCATTAGCACAACAAGATGAACACTGGATTCATAGAAGTAGTTAATTCAGTGGTAATATATAGAAGAAAGATTGTGTATAGGGAGGATAGTACAAGAAGAAAGGATTAGTTGGTAGAAAGAAAGATATGAAGCGATTTTAATCTCATAGTTTAAGAGAAGACAAAGAGTGTATACACTGACGCCATTGTGATCGATTCTGAGCCATGAACCAGATTTCTTAATATAAAGCCTGCCCAAACTAGAGTCCATGTTTCAAACTTATGACATAATAGTAGTATAAAATCGAATGGTTTGATCTGTAAGCTATTGATCTACCACTAGTTCGTTCAGTTTATCCAGTTTTATAAAGAAGATCAACTGTATTCATGTCATATTTTATTTTCTAAAGTTAAACATTCCATAACTTCTATTGATCCGATAATAAACGATTGTTTTCACCAGCTCTATCCATAGTTGAAAATCTCTCACGGGCTACAATAAGTGACAATAGTTGATGCGTTGTTGATACATTTATGAACTAAGTTAATATATTCATAACTCCAACTTTATTCAAGTGAACAAAACTACTTCTATTCTTTTCTTCCATGCTTCACTAATTAGTGAGTGAAATCCTATTTATAATGAAAGCTTTGTTGGCAATGATCACCAGTGATAAAGTTGCATAAAATTGTTTATCGTAGATTGTTTTTTTTAGTTCACTGGTGGGATCGTAAATTGATCTGTTAGGAAAATGAAATACTCTAGTTCATTTTGGTTGAAGTTTATTGTAATATTCATGTAATTAATGAGCAAACAGGTAAGACTGAGATATTCAACTCATTGATTGTATCTACGAGTGTGTATAGTGATTTACATTTTCTTCATTTAATTACTTAAATGGTACATAATATTGTATACCATATAACATACCATTTTTCTGTCTCTATTCAGGATTACGACCATATAGTTGTAATGTTTGTAATAAACGTTTCACTAAAGCCCGTTCATTGAGACGGCATAATTGTGAAAAAAGTGGTCGTAAGTTACGTTTTTGGTGTAATATTTTTTATCTCATTGTGAGTTTCATTTAGTGTTATGCGCACGCATAAAACAGGGTTACTTATGATTGTTGCCGTCCGTATACTTCTAGTGATACTCTCATTTGATAATAATAATTCTCTTCATTATTCTTTAAATTATCATCTATCCATGATAAATCTTTGTTTTCTTCTATTGCCCACAAATGCTCTGGTACGGCCGAGAGTGGGGAGAGTCCGCTCTCCCTCTCGAAATGCTCTCACAAGGCCATGCGTATATAGCCTCTGCCAGGGAAGTCCTACTCACTGCCTTCTCGTGGCAGCGGTGTTGTCTACAAAAATGAGAGGACGAAAAGCGAATATCCGGCGCTTTAACCGGATCCCAATCCAATGGTGCACATGGGCTAGCTCCAGTATCCTGAAGGAACAAATGGTATATGAACCAATCGTTGGTCACCGGTTACCATGGGACTGCATCTCCTCACGATGCTCCACTGCCTTGTGGATCAGACATTCAGGTCAAAGGCTCGAGGTGTGGCTCCCTAAGAAAACCACCTGTTTCGCTTTGGGCACCTGGGCAGTATCACATCCCTCACACATATCAAATGAGGTCTGTGTGGCGCATATGTATTTGGTGCCTCCCTGTACCAATATCTATGTGTTAAAATAAATAAAAAATAAATTTCTTCTATTAGCATTTTCCTCATGTACAAACGGTTCTGACAATCTAACCAATAAAAAAAAGTGTTTAACATTAATAGGTTTCATAGTAATGAATCTCTCATGCACTCTTGTGTCAATATTGATCAAAGTCTATTAGCTCGATTGAACTATTGAAGGATATAAGTAAAGAACTTGGGAAAATTCAAAAGTTTTTACAGTTACATTTTGAGATCAAATCAAAAGTTTCCAAAATAGGATTTTACCTGTTCAATAAAAATACTAATTATTCACAGAAGATTATATTAGTCACACGTTGCTGTCAGTCGTAAGATATATGGCAGTCAACCGTACGGTTGACCTTAATCTTTCCGTTTACTGTTTATACTTTTACTACCTCTACCACTATAGGATTTGAATAGACAATTGTATCTCTGCGCTAATGTGATATGGCAACTCGAACTGATTTACGTACGTACGTACGTACGAAGTTCTACGTTGTAACTGACTGACTGACGACCGTACGGTTAATAAACTGTAGTTTAAGCTTACTATATTTATGCCCTTCTTCAATGACTTACTTTAACTAATCTCATTCATATTCTTATGTATTTATAATTCTTAGAGCTCATGTGATTGAACTGATTAATAAATTGAAACAACTGAATATTCAATTCTATTTATCAATTATTTCGCTTATTATCTATAAAACCAATGACCTTCTTTAGATCGGTCACGCAATAATCATAACCCTAATTGCATATCATCAGCTCACGAGTTATTTTTATCCCATTGTATGTATAATCAGAAGATAAAGTTAACAAACAAAGTTATTCTATTGTCTTATTGTTTTATAAACTCAAATTTGTATACATGAATGAATTAGCCAGACAATATTACAAATAGGAAGTTACAACGGAGCTATAAATGATATAAAAACAGTGAGATAGGAATATAATTAATTAACGATAATTTAAGAATGATGAAACTTATCATAACAGTGAATACATTAAATGAAACTTTATAAAATGTAATAACATTGAAGTACCATAATCGATGTATTTAATAGTTACACTGTGGTATATGCTACTTATGTCTGTCGGTATAAGTAGTATGTAACATCAATCGAATGTAGAAACACTAGCAGCAGAAGGCTAAGAAGCTCAAATTGAAGAGAATAGAAAAGAATTGTGAACTGGAAGAATCATACAGAATGTAGTGAATAAGAACATGAGTAGGGATAACCGAATGTATTTGAGTACAAAATTACAATTAATGGCAGTGAAACATGGCCAGTGAGAGTAGAGGATATTCGTAGGTTACTAGTATTTGACCATAGGTGTCTTCGAAACATCGCTCGTATATCCTGGGACCACCGAGTAAGTAATGCAGTTGTTATGAAACGGGTACTAGGTAAGGATGGCAAATCAATTGATGAAATAGTGAAACTTAATCAGTCGAGATGATTGAGATATGTGTTGCGCATGCCCGACCACCGACTGCCCCGACGTGCTATGTTTTATGGTGTAGGAGTAGGTTGGAAGAAAGCTAGGGGCGGCCCGATCAAAACATGGCACAAATCCATGAAGTCACTGACAAGTGGACTGAGTCATGTTGGTAGGTGTAGACTACCTGGTTGGGGACGGCGAGACGATATCAACAGATGGTTAGAGACCTTAAATGACATGGCTCAAAATCGTTTGCAATAGCGCAGGTGCATCCACTCTTTGTGTTCTCTCAAACTCTAATCTTTTGAATTCTTCATGTCCTTTATTTTCTTTCCCAATTTATTCCACTGGACTATACTCCTTTAATAACATCATCAAACCTTAATGTCCCCTATCTCTACTTATACTTTCAGTACCTCTACTACTATGGGATTTAAATCGATAACTGAATCTCTGTGCTAATGTGGTATGGCAACTCGAACTGATGTACGTACGTACGAAGTTCCATGTTGTTACTGACTGACAAAATTACAAAACATCTCATTAAAATCTGAGAACTATACAATGAATATTTAATTTGCAAAATATCAATCCATTGTCTCAAACTTAACTATTCGTTTTGCAAATATCAGTTCATCATCTCAGATTTCATTGTTCATGTATTTTCATAACAATTGCTCTCCGTTCCCGTCCTTTCCCTCTCGATCTTCCACTAAAATACATTCTATATCTGACCATCGTTATGTATATAAATAGCTCACACCATAGTATGTAACACTAATCGGATGTGGAAACTCTGGCAGCCGAAGTCTAGGAAGCTCAAGTTGAAGAGAATAGAAAAGAATTGTGAATTGGAAGAATTATACAAAATGTAAAAGTAAAAAAATGATGGAAATTTACAAATTAATTATTCAGTGCATGATTCTCATATTTTGCCAATAGTTTCTGTAAATTTATATTAAACAATAAATTGATTTCACTGGATGAAATCATCAGTCAGTTGGAGCTGGACCACCATGGAAAACTTGGAAGCACTGGACGGCCGTTTCATCCTAATGTGGGACTCCTCAGCAGTGCGCACCCACGATCCCGGTCCCCGCGAGACTCGAACCCAGGACCTACCGGTCTCGCGCCAGGCGCTTAACCAACTAGACCGCTGAACCGGCATCCAGCGGTATCAATGTCTAACTTCAACTAATCCATGACGTTGCGCCACCGTACACCGTTGTCTTCAGTGAGCTGATATCTCACAACAGACCTGGTTGAACTCCACTGGTAATGGCTTCTCACTAGAACTCCAGGATGCGCACTGCTGAGGAGTCCCATACTAGGACGAAACGGCCGTCCAGTGCTTCCAAGTTTTCCATGGTGGTCTAGTTTCAATTGACTCATCTCCACACAACCCCTTCTGATAATAAATTGATTGTCGCCACCTATGGATACTTTCGAAAATTTAACCTTTCTCAATCTCACTTTGATATAACACCCATTTTATTTTTTGAAAGTCATTTCTGATGTAACATTTATGTTTCATACTTATCAGTAAACTGGTACACATCAATAATTCGTTGCATTTCCCCCCCCCTCTCTCTCTCTTCCAATACTTCTTCATATTCTAGCATTAAAACCTTTTGTTTGTGATGTATGCGGTCGTGGTTTCTCACATATGCACACAATGAAAACTCATCGTGCTTCAATTCATGAAGGTTTGTTGAATTAAAAATTATGACTAGTTTATTTCTATTCAATATGAATCATTATTTTGATTAGATCAAATAAGTATCTCTACCAATAATTGTGGCGATATATATTGATATAATGCAGATAGATTCATTTTATATCTTCCATGTTAGATATTGAGTTTCAATATTGTTTCATACAATTCATTTCATTCTATTTGAACTATTTTCTGTAATATTTAGTTTTTCTTTTTACCGCTGATACTAGTGTTGTTTCAACTGCTTAGATAGTCATCTTGGTAAGTTCACCTCATAGTGTTTATATAATGTAACAACTAGGGTGGATATGTATTCCTGTCACATCTTGTGTTGATTATAATGGACTAACTGAAGTGTGCTCCTAAATGCCCTGGTATGACCGAGAGTGGGGAGAGTCAGCTCTCTCTCTCTCACACACACACATGGCCACGTACATACAACCACTACCAGGGAAGTCCTAGTCATTGCCTTCTCACCACTAAGGTGTTGTTTACGAAATTGAGATAGGGAAAAGCGAATGTCCGGGGCTTTAGCCGGGTTGGTGGACACGGAGAGTCCATCTAGAGGAGTTGAAAAATGCTGATTTCAAACCACTGGTGCACATGGGCTGACTCTGGTATCTTGAAAGAACAAATGGCCTATGAACCTATTGTTGGTCAACGGCTATCGTGGGACTGCATCTCTTGATGTTACTCCTCTTCCTTGTAGATGGGACCTTTATTTCGAAGGCTCCGAGTGTGGCCCCCTAAGAAAACCACCTGTTTCGGTTTGGTCACCCGTGCCGTATCCCATCCCTCACACCTATCGAATGATTTGTGTGGCGCATATCTAATTTGTGCCTCTTTGTATCAATATTTATGTGTTTAAATAAAATAAAAACTGAAGTATATTTGGCGATAACCATAAAAATTCTGAATAAACGTTTTATTACGTAACGGTCGTTGAATTTAACAATAACACCCAAATGCCCTGGTACGGCCGAGAGTGGGGAGAGTCCACCCTCCCTTTCGAAATGCTCTCACATGGCCGCGCGTATATAGCCTCTGCCAGGGAAGTCCTACTCACTGCCTTCTCGTGGCGGGGGTGTTGTTTACAAAAATGAGAGGACGAAAAGCGAATATCCGGCGCTTTAACCAGATCCCAAACCATTGGTGCACATGGGCTGGCTGCAGTATCTTGAAGGAACAAATGGCGTATGAACCAATCGTTGGTCACCGGCTACCATGGGACTGCATCTCCTTACGATACTCCACTGCCTTGTGGGTCAGACGTTCAGGTCGAAGGCTCGGGGTGTGGCCCCCTAAGAAAACCACCTGTTTCTGTTTAGGCACCCGGGCAGTATCACAGCCCTCACACAAATCCATTGAGATTCGTGTGGCTCATATGTATTTGGTGCCTCCTTGTACCAATACCTATGTGTTAAAATAAATAAATAAATTACCATCGAAACATATTTTTCGGGAGCTATACTCACCGACAATAGATACATAGTTTGTCAATTAGTCACCATTCTTAATTTTCAGACTAGTGATTCACCCTATCATAGATAATGCTGGTCAAAATGCTCAAATCTCATATAAGCACGATGAGATTTAAAATTAATATGCCATAATCCTAATGAGGTTAAATAATTGTATCTATTCAAATGGAAAAGTAACTACGATTCAAGACGAAAACATGAAATAGATGAATTCGAAATGGGAAGCCAAAGATTTAAGGGGACGGAACATCGATAAATCACTTCCATCTTCTTACTTATTACGCTAACAGTAATCATTATTATAAACTCGTCAACCAGGTACAGATTCATATACTTGACTTTGAATCATACTCTAAATTTGTGGCATAGGGATACTACCGTATTACTCAAACCGAAGTAAGTAGGTTGGGTTCGAACTTGGAACCCAGTAAATCGAAAGCTAAACAGTTTCATTAGTGTGCTACCGTCCCACTTCTTTCACGCCAACAGTGTTAGCTTAGTGACGACAATTCACAATCCACCACCGTTATGTAGTAAGTTTGAAACTCTCTTCATTTATTTCAGTGAAGATAATCAGATAGTATTATTAGACCTGATGCTTGTTATGAGTATCTAAAAGCCAAGTACATATATTTTTTCTAGTTTTTAAAGGAGTTAAATCGGAATTAAGCGGACAAGTCTTCACAAGGTTAATCAGTTTATGATGACAAATACATTAAAGTGGCGTGAAAACTTATTATTTACCGTGAATAACTTCTGAGAATCCTATCCAAATGTTTGCCACGACAAAAAATCTAACTCATTTTAAAATAAAAATCGATCACTAGTCATCCTCAAATGGTATTATTACTTAGTATCGTTATGTACTTCTCTCTATGTTAGAGTTTACAAGAAAAATGAATATAAGCATAAGGTTTTGTTATTTGTCTTGTTGGTTATCGTTTGATGTACTACAATATGACTAATTTAACTAGTTCATTTCTGAAATGTGAAAAGATTGGGAGTAATTGACACCAGAATACTACAACCAAGTTTCGTGCTGGTTGAAGCTCGTCAACAAGACATACTTACAATCTTGAAATCACTAATATTCCCATGTAGGATTCAAACTCGCGTTATCCAGCTTTACAATTTCAAACGTTACCACTAAGTTATTGAAGCCTGATCATTTCTATTGGACTAAACAAAAACAGTAAATGTATAACCTGATCACTTTATGTGTAGTCATGTTTTTCCTCTTTTCTATCACTACAATAGTTCGTCAGGGCTGTCCACTCTCTCCATTCTTGTTTAACTTTGTCGTTGACGTCCTTTTAGAGATGACACTTTCCTCATCTAAATTTCCAGGAGTTGAACTTCTACTGGGAGATCCACTTGTTGACTTAGAATATGCCGATGACATAGTTCTATTTAGTGAAGACGCTGACAGAATGCAGAGTCTGCTGACCACTCTAAGCAACAATGCAGGCATGTTCGAGATGCGACTCTCCCTCGAAATGCAAAATGTTACTTCAGGATTGGGTTGCGTCGACACCCGAACTAGTGATAGGGAGTGAAGTAGTTGAGCGTGTCGACCGCTTCACTTATCTCGGAAGTCTCATCAGCCCTTGTGGTTTGGTGTGTGACGAAATCTCAGCACGGATACAAAAGGCTCGACTAGCTTTTGCCAACTTGCGTCATTTGTGGCGTAGGCGAGATATCCGTCTATCAACCAAAGGACGTGTTTACTGCGCAGCAGTTCGTTCCGTCCTACTTTATGGCAGTGAAACATGGCCGGTAAGAGTAGAGGATATTCGTAGGTTACTAGTGTTTGACCATAGATGTCTTCGAAACATTGCTCGTATATCCTGGGACCACCGAGTAAGTAACTCAGTTGTTAGGAAACGGGTACTAGGTAAGGATGGCAAATCAATTGATGAAATAGTGAAACTCAATCATTTGAGATGGCTGGGACATGTGTTGCGCATGCCCGACCACCGACTACCCGACGTGCTGACTGACTGACAATAGTTCCATTTGTTTCAGCAATTTCAATTTTTTTTAAAAAAAAAAAAAACCCACTTTAGATTGTTTTATTTTATAATTCTATTAGGTTGTCTTCTTTTTGCTTGTGGAATTTGTGGTGCTCGTTTTCGTGAATCTTCTGAATTACAAAAACATAGACGTACATTTCATGCAGGTAAAATAAAAAAATTGATTTATTCATGTATGAAATATCACTAACATTTATTATGTTCATTTAAGTTTTTCATACTTTTATATCATCACCAAATTCTTTTCATTTATTTATTTATATTTAGGTGAAATTAGTTATAATTGTGGTGTTTGTGGAATTGCATTTCAACATGCTGCTGATATGCGTCAACATAGAGCTACTGTTCATAATTGTAAGTATTTGAACAATGTTTATTATTATTCAATCGTAGACGTTTTTCACAATCTAGTAAACAATATGTCTTACTTCAAGTTGTCTCATCTAATTTTCCACGTAGCATGTTATAGAATTAACATGATAACTATGATAATGTCACACCTAGTGCTAAAGATGAACGATTTATATTGATTTCCTTTATTTTGTCACAATGTGACCACTAGTCCAAATAAGTTGGTATTGTATAAACTATTCTTTTTATCTAAGATTGTTGAAAGTAGCTGACGAGAAATCCTGCTTGATTTTTATTTCGTACAATTTGGCACTTATTAGCAAAAATTACCTGAAATATTCCAGGAATTAATGTTTTCTGCGAGATACAAGTCAGCATTTTATTTTCCAGTGGACCAGTATTTTTAAATGGGAACTTCTCAATCACTGTAAGAGGATGACCCAAGTTCTATGGGTCCAGGAATCATATTTGTTGTCCATTTGTTTATTACAGGTATAAACTTACTTTCATTTTCGTAGTTCGATCCGCTCGTTCACTTTTTTTTTTTTTTTAATCCATGTTTCCAATGTACAATTAGCTGAAAGACCTCATGTGTGCGATATTTGTGGGAAATCTTTCGGTCAGGCAAGTAAATTACTTCATCATAAATCTGCCGTTCATGAAGGTAAGTAACAGTAGTAGTAAAACTTGTATTATTGGCTGATAAGTTTGCTTCTTTAGTTGTTTTTTTCATAATCAATAGATTCACTCTCTATAGATGAGTAAATAGGCATTGATGATGTAATCGTCAGAAATATGAAACTACTGCCGGCTATGATTTATTTTTCTTATAAATTCTTTTCGAATGGAAGTCGGATGAAAACTTATCTAACTGTGATGACCTTCAGTCAATCAGTGGTCTTGGGTGCTATTAGAAGTACGAGAGCGGTTATCATTTCCCCGTTGCCCACACCGTGGGAGGGTTCTTCTGGAGGTACCCAAGGGACAACTACTTAAGGTCGGTCACACAAGACCTTTTTGCGAGTGATTTTCGTGTTAGCTCCGCACTTGTTGAGACCTTACCTCTGGAGACGAATATCCATGGGATAAGGCGAGGTGTGCATTTTTAGGGTTGACCTTTTCTAACCCCACCCCTCCTTGTGGGAAGGCAGCATCACTGTTATGTTGTTTGTCCGAAGGAAACACCTTTTTGTCGTCCCACCTCTGTACAGTCAGCAGTACGACTTTTCCCTCAGACCTTGGGTTGTAATACACAGACAATCAACAATTTATCCAGACTTGATTAACGCTTATATATATATATATATATATATATATATATATATATATATATATATAAATGGATTTTTTAACACACACGCACACTCACTCATTCACTCACATACACACTTGTGTTTTCCCTGCGTGCTTGCTTGCTGTATGCTTGCGGATTTTACCAAGCTCTAACAATAAACTATCTCTATAACTGATGTTTGGGCTTTTCAATAATATCGAGTAAATCGATTATTCTACTAGAAGATTTAGCCTGCATTAAATACACAGTTAACGAGATACAACATATTGGAGTCAGATCTAAGGCAAATTTTCCTCTACAGTCTTACCGTTCTGGCATGGTAGGACCTTGAGGAACGATTTTTCCAGACAGTATAGCACAGTATAATACAAGAAGACTACGTGCCAGTTAACCGATAAGATCCCCCGTAGGCCGAATATCAAAAGGCAGTTGATGGCTGTAGTCCAGATGTATTTGTTGGCGATCTTGTGGTATCGAAAGAATACCGAGATTGTGCTAGTTAACAAGTGGGGTTACTGGGCGTAACCGAATTCGTGCAAGGCCACAGTCAACGGAAGAAAGTATGTCATCAGTACAGTTGAACAAACAAGTACAGTAAAACAATCTCTGGTACAATTGGTTATAATAGTAATTGCTTCCATTACACCAATCGCGTTCTTTTGATAAAAGTAGGTCACTGCAGTATCAACAACAGTCGGGATGACTTTCAGTTACACTTGAAATAACTTTGAGAACCTAATGCATTACTTTTTTTTAATAATCAGTATGTTGTTGATTGAAATGATGGTTTTTTTACAGAGATACTTGAAAAATACATTAGATTGGGGTTAGGATTAGGTTTTAGAGAGTTAGGGTTATGAGTTTAGATTAGTATATCAGTTTAAGGCTAGAAGGTAATAATAATAGTGATGCCCTGGTACGGCCGAGAGTGGGGAGAGTCCGCTCTCCCTCTCGAAATGCTCTATCATGGCCATGCGTATATAGCCTCTGCCAGGGAAGTCCTAATAACGTTTTGTGGTGGGGGTGTTGTTTACGAAATTGAGAGGACGAAGAGCGAATGTCCGGCGCTTTGACCGGACCACAAACCAATGGTGCACATGAGCTGGCTGCAGTATCTTGAAGGAACAAATGGCGTATGAACCAATCGTTGGTCACCGGCTACCATGGGACTGCATCTCCTTACGACGCTCCACTGCCTTGTGGATCAGACATTCAGGTCGAAGGCTCGAGGTGTGGTCCCCTAAGAAAACCACGTGTTTCGGTTTGGGCACCCGGGCAGTATCATAGCCCTCACACAAATCGATTGAGATTCGTGTGTCGCATATGTATTTGGTGCCTCCTTCTACAAATACCTATGTGTTAAAATAAATGAATAAATAGAATGTTAGTATACTATTGTAATCATATATGTAAATATAGATATCTTGATAGTTTTAAATAAATATGAGCATTGTGTAGAGAGAGTTAATAATAAACATATTTTTTGTTATATCTTAATGAATAGAAAAAATTGTATTTCTGACGATCTTTCGTGACTCGATGTAACCCACTTCTTCAGAGTAAATAAATAACTAACATTAAATTAACATAAGTTTATTTATAAGTTACTTTTAGGTGTTTTAATCTACATTCCCAATCATTATCACAGGTCTACTACTACTGTAATGAACAAAAACACCAATGGAGCCAATCGAATGTATTTAACAACAAATTACAAAACTAGTTAGTAAAATCTTACAACCATATATTGAGTGCTCAATTTGCAAAATGTTCATCAATTGTCTCAAATGACTCAGAATCCCTTTGTTCTTGCATTTTCCTACAAATTGCATTCTTCCTTCATTCTTTATTGGTCGATCTTCTCGTCTCTCTGTTGCTAGATATTCTGATCAGTACTCACGTCATATACTACTTATGTCAACATAAGTAGCACACACCACACTACTACTACTACTACTACTACTTATCACTCATTTAACATTCATTGGTTTATTTCTCTCTATATATATATATTTTTGTTTTTTCCCCTCTACGAAATTTTAATATAAATTATCATATTTTAGGGAAACGTCCACATTTATGCGATATCTGTGGTGCTCGTTTCACACAAAGTGTTCATCTGAAACAACATAAAGCATCAGTCCACGAAGGTAGATACACTATTTGATGTTGTTGATTGTATCATGAATTATTATTATTATGGCACTATATATTTTATTCGGTAGTCCATACACTTTCTCTCTCAAGTAATCAGTTTGGGAGGTTAGCACATAGCATACCGTGTGTATCAGTATCAGATTTCGGAAAGCTCACGTCACAACAGTAATCCAGAAAAAGGTTGGTATGCTGAGAATTGGTAACTGTGACACAATATTGACAAGTATTTGTTTACATAGCTTAGATAATAACCTATGGTTGTTCAATCCATATTAGCTACTATTCCTTCCCAATCCAACTGAATTTCTGCGATAAAAATCAATGTATAATACATTAAACAATGCATATTACTAGTAGATACTTTTTTTTTCTTCCTGACCACCTATTTCATGACTATCAGAAGACAACACTACTTATGATAGATACAAATTGAAATTTATAAAAGATACAACTTTCTGTATTTATTTCTGGATCAATTTAGAAGTACAATACAAAGTTAATTGAAAAGTTTTACGGTCATTGATCCAACAATGAAATCACCAAAGTGACTGAATATTTCATATCATTAAGTATCATGAATTAAAATCTGAAGTGAACAACTTTTGACATCATCATTTGATAGTCTAATGGGCCCCCAAATACCCTGGTATGGCCGAGAGTGGGGAGAGTCCGCCCTCCCTCTCGAAATGCTCTCACATGGCCACGCGTATATAGCCTCTGCCAGGGAAGTCCTACTCACTGCCTTCTCGTAGCATTACTGTTGTTTACAAAAATGAGAGGACGAAAAGCGAATATCCGGCGCTTTAACAGGATTCCAAACCAATGGTGCACATGGGCTAGCTCCAGTATCCTGAAGGAACAAATGGCGTATGAACCAATCGTTGGTCACCGGTTGGCTACCATGGGACTGCATCTCCTTACGATACTCCACTGCCTTGTGGGTCAGACGTTCAGGTCGAAGGCTCGGGGTGTGGCCCCCTAAGAAAACCACGTGTTTCGGTTTGGGCACCTGGACAGTATCACAGCCCTCACACAAATCAAATAAGATCTGTGTGGCGTATATGTATTTGGTGCCTCCTTGTTCCAATATCTATGTGTTAAAATAAATAAATGATAAATAAGATCACCATTGAAAACCTGGAAGCACTGAACAGCCGTTTCGTCCTATTGTGGGAATCCTCAGCACCCGGGCAGTATCATATCCCTCATACATATCAAATGAGATCTGTGTAGCACATATGTATTTGGTGCCTCCTTTTACCAATATCAATGTGTTAAAATAAATAAAATAAATAGTCTAATGGTTTATTACCTAGTTCAGTTTCTTTCTTCAATCATTACATCATAGCATTTACGGACAAGTACCATTAAATGTGTAACTTAAACTTACTACCCTATTTAATTCTACATTCTGAACTACTATAATCCCTTCTTTTTCCTTTTTTTTCATTTATTTATTGTTGTGGTTAATTCAGGTAAAAAACCTTATCAATGCAATTTTTGCCAGCGAAGATTCACTCAACTTGGACATGTCCGTGTTCATAAGTGTGTTGTAGATCAAGGTAAGGTGGAAGTGTTTTATATATCAACCTCATTGATGTGTTTTTATTTGTTGATTGTTAATCAATCAACATAAACCAGTGTAATGATTCTTTAAAATGAATCTGTTATCCGTCTATTGTTTATCTCTTTCCTTCCTAATGTTTTCATGTTTAACATTACACTACTTAATAATATGTAGTAGTTTCAGTTTTGTTAAATCATGTATATAGTTCTTGCGAATGACATATGGAGTTGTAGTGATCTTTTCCAAAGAAATACGAAAAACGCTCATAAAGTGGGAAACTCATGGTTCCGGTATAGTCAAACCTTCCTTTAAACAAAAATGAAAGTTATTGCAGTAAATGTTATAGAGTGCTACGAACTCACCGATAATATCAACGAAGATAATAGAGACCAATTTTATGTGAAGCTGCAGTCCACCGTATAGAAATCTTAAGGAAAAAACATTACCATCCTAAGGGGGAATTTAAACACCAAAATAATGATAGACAGTGCTAGGTTTGGATTTATCATTTAGTGACATAAACTAGAAATAAGGAACAAAAATGATGAGATACTGGTAGATCTACGGGCTTTCAATAACGTAGTTATAGGCGTCATCATTTTCCCCCACAAAGCTAATTGAGTTTCATTAGACCACATAACAAAAGATATGATCGGTCATATCTGGTTGATTAAAAAATTCAGGAAGTTTATTAAAGATATATGAACAAAGAGTGCAGCTGATATAGTGGCCAAGCTAAACAAGCAATGAAAACGCAGTATTACAAAGTTTAATATAGCTTTCCTTTGAGACGTTAGCAATCTCAACGAGTTCAAAATAACTCTCTACAAACAGTTTCAAAAAAAGTAATAGCTTCGGTACCCTAGGATTTGCTGAGCCCAGAATAAAGAATGAATCTGTTTAGACAGCCTGAAGACAGAAAAAAATCAGGAAAAGTGCAGTCAACCAAAGCAGAGAAATCCAAGATTCAGATTGAGTAAATAAACACTAGAACTGGTAAGATGAAATATGTAAAAAAAAGCTTTTTAAACACAGGAGGATTCAGGAGCAGTGGAACAAGTAGGTGGAGCACTATAGAGAACTTTTAGATATTTCTCTGATGAACTCTTGAATATCGAAGCGGCACATGAGAACCTCTCTATAGATGTTACCGCATCAACAGTATAAGCAAGGTTATTTTGACAAATGAAGAATGTCAACGATAGAACCAGACAACATACCAGCTAAGACACAACTCAGAATCAAATACAACTGCAAAGATGTTCTATGTTCTCTTCAAAAAGTTGTGGGGCGATGAACAAGTGTCAACAGACTGGTAAGAGGGATACCAAAGAGGACTACAAAAGAATCATATTACTGTTAGTGTCATGCAAGGTTTTCAACATTGTCAGTGAATTGAATGCAAGATTCAGTAGACACCCAACTAACTACTCTCGTCTCTTCTCTCTTTGTCTATACTACCCCAACAAGAACAAACATTTTAAGTAATTAAAATTGTGTTCATAGAATAATGTATCCGATTCGAAGGCCATCGAAGTTCGCTTTTTACATGACGACTGGATTTGATTGTGTGTAACATTTATTTATTCTCTCAAATCGTTAAACTCAATGTCATTTCCACTAATTGTGCTTTGAAAAAAGGTTCTTTATTACTGGATAGAGACCGGTATGTATTCAGTTGTTCAGTCTTTATAGAGATCAGTTCCGCCTCTAGACAAGGGTCTGTCATGATCGACACTTCGACAAGTCTATCGTATCGTATGACTAATTTACGCAACATTGTTTTTTTTCATAAACTTACTTGTTTTAGCAATATTTCTGTTAGCCTCACGTACGATTAAAACATTCGAATGCCAGAACTTTCCATGTCACAAATAAGAAGACAAGTGAAAAGAATGCTATTCCCAAACACACTCAATTATGTTACAAAATTGTCAAATATTTTTAGTTGTTAGTAAAAACGAAATCATTATAGTCCTCCAATCTGCTTAGCAAGATTCAATAGAAAGGCTACATGTACGGATTCTGGAATGTTCTTCCGAAAGATGATTGGGTGGAATATCTTCGACTCTTTCTTAGCTTCTTAGAGCTTCCTCGAGTTCACCTATGGGCTGTCCTCACAGTTTGAACTTAGTGATATTTTATCTTATTTTTCTTTGAGATTTTTTGTTAATGTTTGTTCATGGAAGTTTCTTTTTGTTGGACTAGAAAATCTATTTTCTATAAATTCTTTAGTTTATTATCCTTGTAATTCTTTTCCTTCGAAGGTTTTAAACGTCACACCTGTGATGTATGCGGTAAACAGTTTACACAGTTAGGTACTTTGAAGAAACATATTGCCGGTGTACATGAAAGTAAGTTTAAAACTCACTTGGTATTGTTTACTTGAATCTTCCTATTGATGTTTAGAACTGAAATTGATCAGTCTCTTAATGGCATATGTGCATATTGTGCGTATTGCCTCGATGTTGCCTTAATTTACAAGCATTATAAATAAAGATGGATAGTGGCTAGCAGTGGAATTTAGGATGCACGTTTCAACCTATTCGGCACTCGTCAGCTGGATGTACAAATAGAACGAATTATTTATTTATTTATTTTAACACATAGGCATTGGTACAAGGAGGCACTAGATACATATGCGCCACATAGACCTCATTTGATATGTGTGAGGGCTGTGATACTGCCCGGGTGCCCAAACCGAAACACGTGGTTTTCTTAGGGGGCCACACCCCGAGCCTTCGACCTGAACGTCTGACCCACAAGGCAGTGGAGTATCGTAAGGAGATGCAGTCCCATGGTAGCCAACCGGTGACCAACAATTGGTTCATACGCCATTTGTTCCTTCAGGATACTGGAGCTAGCCCATGTGCACCATTGGTTTGGAATCCGGTTAAAGCGCCGCACATTCGCTTTTCGTCCTCTCATTTTTGTAGACAACAGTAATGCTACGAGAAGGCAGTGAGTAGGACTTCCCTGACAGAGGCTATGTACGCGTGGCCATATGTGAGCATTTCGAGAGGGAGAGCGGACTCTCCCCACTCTCGGCCGTACCAGGGCATTTGGAGGCAAAGATGAATAATGGCCAACAGTGAAATCCAGGGAACGTGTTTCGTCCTATTCGGGACTCGTCAGCTGGATGTACCTGCATCTCAGAGTTGATGTTCACTCTGGGACTCGGACCCAGTACCGTTCGCTTCAAACGCCACTACGTTATCCATTTTGCTACTGAGTTCTGATATCCACCTGCTTGTGCAATGAGGTGAAGTATAAATTCATTAGTTGTTGTTTTACTTGTATCTTTCCATTGTTGTTAAGGTTTGTGATTGATCAGTTTCTTGTTGGCATATGTGCATGCTGTGTGTATTGCCTCGATATCGCTTTAATTCACAAGCATGAAAAGTTAAAATGGATAGTAGATGATGCCATAACATCTGAATCTAATGGTACTGGGTTTGAGTCCCGAACTGAACATCAACTCCGGGATTCAGGCACATCTAACTGACGAGTCCGAAATAGAACAAAACGCGCGTCCTGGATTCCACTGATAGCCACTATCCATCTTTGCTTATAAGTTTAAAACTGCTTATTAATTATACTTTCAATGTTATTTATCCTTGTGGTTTTAAATTTAATATGACAGTTTACATAGGAGATCTGTTTATTTAACTTACTATCACTGTTTATTTTAGTGTCATTAATTCAATCAATTATTTTCTCAATATTTTTCACTATTTCTTTGTATAACACTTCTCTACAGAGTTACGTCCTTATAAATGTGAATCTTGTCCTAGTGCCTTTGGTACAACTAGTGAATTACGTAGACACAAAGAAAATGTTCATGAGGGTGAGTTTATGTTTTGGTATACTGTCGATATGGTCGATGTGTAAACCTAAATCGATCCTCATATGTTTCACGTTGCGTATGATTAACTGACTAACTGACTTTTAGTTAACCATCAAATCCCTTGAATGTATGTATATGTTATCGTGTTGGATATTTCATTTTTTGATGTTTATGTATAAGTATGACGTAACGTTTAAATGATTATCAGAAACTAGAAACATTTTATCCGGTTAGAAACAGGTTATAAAAGTATTTACATTTTCATGGAAAGGAATGAATGAAGAATCAGAGAACAATATATATTATTATCTAACCCTGACTAGTTAGATTTTCTCAATACAACCTTATTATAAATGATCTTACAAAGCAACTCCTTGTTTTGTCAATTCATTATGATAATGATAATGATTACATTTTCATTTGAAATTGCCAGGTTTACTATTGATAGTCTACATACTCATTTGAACTAATGTTAGACAAAAGTATACTGCGCGGCAGTTCGTTCCGTTCTACTATACGGCTGCGAAACATGGCTTTTAAGAGTAGAAGATATTCGTAAGTTACTAGTATTTAACCACAGATGCCTTAGAAATATTGCTTGCATCTGCTGGGATCACAGGGTAAGTAATAGTGAGGTTAGATGTAGGGTATTAAGGAATGATGGTAAATCAGTTGATGAGGTTATGAATCTTGATCGACTGAGATGGTTGGGCCACGTGTTGTGTATGCCTAAACACCGATTACCACGACGCGCAATGCTAACTGGTGTTAGGGATAATTGGAAGAAAGTTAGAGGCGACCAAACCAAAACGTGGCATCAGTGTTTGAAGTCACTAACTTCTGATCTGAGCCATGTTGGTAGATTCAGACTATTTGGTTGGAGTCTGTGTGACTATCGTATCCAATGGTTGGAGACTCTTGGTGACATGGTTCAGAATCGATCACAATGGCGTCGGTGTATACACTCTCTATCTTTCTTTAAACTAAAAGATTAAAATTGCTTCTTATCTTTCTACAAACAAATTCTTTCTTCCTATACTATATCCTTATACAGAATCTTTGTTTTATATATTAAACTATTGAGTTAACTGCTTCCATGTATTTGATGTCCATCTTGTTGTGCTAATGCGGTATGGCAACTTGGACCGATAAATATATGTGCCTGGTCCTATGTTGCAGCTGACTGACTGACTGACTTTTAGACAATTGATTATCTCTTCCCCTTTACTTTAGTCTTATTTAAGTACTTTTTTTCTATAAATAGACCATATTTTACAGGAAACAATAATGAATTAACTAGTAAGTTACCGTTAATTTTGATATTCTCTTCTAGTTTGCATAAATTATATTATTATCCATTTGATTCTGTTCATTTTAAGATTTTTCCTAACTATATATATGTATATTGATTTCTAGGTGGAAATGCTCGAAAATGTCGTTATTGCAATGAACTATTCAATACAATTGATAATTTGAAGCAACATCTAACTTTGAAACATTCCGGTAGTTATTTTTGTTACGAATATATATATATGTATCTATTTGAAATTGTTGAATATATGAGTTGATTTAAGCTAGATCCTTATGATAAACTTGGAAGCAGTGGATGATCGTTCGAGTCCTATGTGCTGGATCATGGATACGCACTGCTGAAGAGTCTTATACTTGGACGAAACGGCTATCCAGTGCTTCCAGGTTTTCTATGGTGGTCTAGTTTGAATCAACTCATGAATTCAACTACTGAATTACTATAATCTCTACAAACCCCTATTCTGTTAACGTAGGTATGTGTTTATTTCTATTCTCGTTTGTTCATCGATATATTTTTAAGATATTACTAACAGATTCATTTAATTATTCTGTTGATAAAGGTTTGTAATATTTAGTTGTCAATATTTAGGACTGCCATCGATCAGTTTTTGTGTATCCTGAACAGATCGCTTTGACATAACGTTGTTACGCCTTTTTGTTATATTTTGTATTTAACTAGTGATATAATCCAGAACACGGTTTCCCTCCTTTATGGGACTCGTCATTTGAATGTACCTGCATTCTATTGTTGATGTTCACATTATAATTGTTGAGTAAGTTAACGTCTATCTGGACTCAGTAATTCAGTGAACAGTGCGTTAGCATTTAGTGCGAAAGGTCTTAGTCTCATTTTCAAAATTAACATTAGGATGCAACGCATGAGTCCCAAATGGAATAACAATCCCATCTCAGATTCCGTTATTAGTAATAAACTGAATATGCTGTTATTTTATGTATATTTTTCTAAATGCCAGTTCTTTGAAAACACTCATATCATTTGATGGTGGTATTGTAAAACATTGCGCTTTGCAATATTAGTTTTGTTGTGTACTCTGATTTGATTGAGTTGAAATACATGTATACCCCTAACCAGCTATGCAGAGTAAGACGATTAAGGGTGGCAAGAATCTTCATTTTCAAATTGCGTCTATGAATGCACTTGTACTTATCACAAATTTATCTTCGTTTTGATATAATAAACAGACCAATTAAACTGCAATAAACTGATGAAAGAGATGTAAGTTAGTGTTATCATTTCATTTTGATTTGATTTACTAGTGAACGAACACATATTAATGTATCATAGAAGTCATTAATGATACTTCTTTGGAGCACAATCTTCTCACCCTTTAACCTTCCTCAGAAGTCAAAAATCGTATAAATTATTCCTTTGTTGTGTTTTTCTTACTTAAATCTCAGGACAAAGACAAATAATGGTTATGTTTACATTATTGTAACCAATTCTGATCTATATCATAGATTGATCACTTCAGTCAAGTTCTAAGCTATCATTCACGTAATAAATTATGTGTTCTATCATGTTTATTAACCTTTTTTTATGTAGAGAGAAAAGAATTCACTTGTGAATTATGCGGTGATCGTTTCAGTCGACAAGTTGCTATGACTCGTCATATGATCACTACACATACCGGTAATGAAACTTTCTTTGAATTTTAGTTTTGACATATTATGCATACAGTATTGTTTATAGCCCCCAAATGCCCTGGTATGGCCCAGAGTGGGGAGAGTCCGCTCTCACTCTGGAAATGCTCTCACATGGCCATGCGTATATAGCCTCTGCCAGGGAAGTCCTACTCACTGCCTTCTCGTGGCATTACTGTTGTTTACGAAATTGAGAGGACGAAAAGCGAATGTCCGGCGCTTTAACCGGATTCCAAACCATTGGTGCACATGGGCTGGCTGCAGTATCTTGAAGGAACAAATGGCGTATGAACCAATCGTTGGTCACCGGCTACCATAGGACTGCATCTCCTCACGTTGTTCCCCTGCCTTGTGGATCACATCTTCAGGTCAAAGGCTCGGGGTGTGGCCCCTAAGAAAACCACGTGTTTCGGTTTGGGCACCCGGGCAGTATCACAGCCCTCACACAAATCAATTGCGATTCGTGTGGCGCATATATACTTGGTGCCTCCTTGTACCAATATCTGTGTGTTTAAATAAATCAATAAAAATTCCAACGGATTAATAGAAATTTATAGGGTTGTACTCCAGTTATTACTAACATGATTCCTATTTTTTTTCTATGCCTAATGTTTAAATATTGTCGGTTTCAGTAATATAATGGATCAACGTTGTGTATCCTTGTGGATTGATTTCTAGCAAAGCTTTATTTAATCCAATCATTATATACGTATAATTATTGACATAGAAATAAGTATAAAGTTTAACCAAATGATATAATTACATAATATTATTGTTGTTCCGTTGTACTATTTAAACTTGGATTAATTTTGATTCGGTTATTTATCCTCTGAAGAAGTGGTTAACATTAAGTCATGAAATGTCAGAAAATCCAGTTTCCCTACTCATAAGGATATTACGAATATAATATACAAATATATAATATCCACAAAACCCCTTCTGATATTAATGAACATATGCTCACCAGTGACGGTCTCTAAGAGGTGTTTCCTGGAGTTCTAGTGAAAAACAGTGACCAGTGGATTTCAACGGGGTTCGTTGTGGGATAGTAACTCACTGATGACAATGGTGGATGTGTCGCTCAATTTCATGGGCTAGTTTAAGTTAGACATTAACACCTTTGGGTACCGGCCAGCTCAGTGGTCTAGAGGTTAAGCGCGAGACTGACAGATCCTGGGTTCGAATCTCGCGAGGTGAAATTATGGATTCACACTCCTGAGAAGTCTCACAGTAGGACGAAACGACCGTTTAATGCTTCCGGGTTTTCCATGGTGGTGTCTCGCTTCAATTGACTCATGATCTTGATTATTAAAATTATTACAAATATATTATTTATCTAAAATGATACTATTGTTGAAATATAAGAACAATTTTGACTTGAAAATGATATTTATATTGTTACTTTTTCACCTTTTAAAACTTAGGTATTGTGTTTATTATAACATTTAAATGTGTTATGTTCGACTTCGTTTACCGTTGTAGATCCATACTACTGATAAGTTAAGACACATTGAAATAATTTTCTTAAACTGTAAAGTAGTTAACTGAATATGTGAATTGTAACACTATGGATATATATCATCAGTCATAGTCGCTATATTGCTTAATACAAATATGCGCTACTCTATGTTGTGATGAAGTTTGTAAGGTGATTAACGAACAAACCGAAATAATTATATTTCAAATTATTGTATGGTTCTTGAATGTGGAATGAGGTACAAATGGTGGAACTTAGGATCTATAACGATGTAGGCCGCCAACCAGCATTCTCCATCCCACTTTGTCCTGGGCCTTCCTTTCTAATTTTGTCTCCATTTCTCAGCGTAATGTGTTCTTTGATCTACCACTTCTCCTTTGGCCTTAATGATTCCAAGTTAGGGCTTGCCTCGTGATGCAGTTGAGTGCTTTCCTTAATGACTTCATTATACACATATTTTATCATTTTAGGTGAAAAACCCAGACAATGTGGTATATGTGGTGTTTCATTTTCATCGCTGGCGGAATGGAAATCTCATTCAACATTGTGTAGTAATGGTAAGAATTCGTTTCAATTTTTTTCTAGTTTTGATGAACATTAGTATTATTTATATTTCTAAATTATTATCCATGTTCATTGTTTCGGTTAGTTGTAAATAATGCAGATTCTAGCGCAGAAATCTGTATTAAGTCAAGTTGTCACGTTCCATATAACCATTTAAAGGGAAAAGAAAAGGTTGAAAGCAAAAACGTTCTGTTAGGAATCTGAAATATGTCAAAATAATTAATTATTATCAGAAGGGGATTTTGTGGATATTAAAGTAATTTAATTGTTGAGTTTATGAGTCAATTGAAGCTAAACCACCATAGACGACTGCTCCGTCCTACTCGGGGACTTCTCAGCAGTGCGCAGCCGTGATCCCGCCACACGGGATCCGAACCCAGGACCTATCAGTCTCGCGTTCGAGCTCTTAACCTCTAGACCTCTAAAGCCGGTCGACATTCAACGGTGTTAATGTCTAACTTCAACCAATCTACAAAACTGAGCGATTAATAAATACATCACTGAGACTAATTTTAAACCATGTCAGTGAAAATCTCCTATAATTATGTCAAGGATCTTAACTGTAAGAAGTCTATATTGTCTGAACAGTTAATGATTTCATAGGTTGTCACAGTGTTTTAGTTTAATCATCTTTACTCTCTTTGTGTACCTGTAGCAGCAAGACTTAGGGTTGTTATGAAGAAGGCTTTTATGAGAGAAGTTCCTAACGTTAGAATGAAAGAAGAGAATACTGACCGAATAATAATATGCAATGATGTAACCAAGTGAACACTGTTTAGATCAGTCTCCAAATAATTTGTGATCAACCATAAAACCACTAATCCGAAGAATCATTTTTTATCCACTACAAATATTACCATAAAAAAGAACCTAATAAAATATCATAGTTGGATAAGTAAACTGATTCCATAGGTCACTCACTATTCCCTTTTATATCCAGGGGTTAGTTATACTATCCATTCAGCATATTTTTTTAAATAATAATTTTCTTTTAATTTTAGATGCATTTAAACACGTATGTCAATTGTGTGGCGATCGTTTTACCACTGTCATTCATTTACGTTATCACAAACGAACTGTACATCAGAGTAAGTTGTTCTTAGTTAAGTGAAACTTCTTATATAGATATTTAGAGAACGACGAAAAGAATGAAAAAAATAGTTATTTTAATCGATCTCTTGATTAATATTAATTATTTTTTAATTGAGATCATGAACCGACGGCCGTTTCGTCCTAGTACAGGACTCCTCAGCAGTGCACATCCACGATCCCGCTCACGGGCCTTGAACCCAGGGCCTTCACTCTCACACGCGAACGCTTAACCTACTGGACCACTGAGCCGGCATCCAATGGTGTTAGTGTCTAACATCAACCAATTATTTTTTAGATAGAAACGATTGGCATTTAGTTGATCATGTGCGCTAAAGGCTTGTTGGAAGTCATGAGTCACTAACCTCTTATTTTATCCTAATTTTAGACTTCTTGTGACATTGCGCACTCATAACTTCAGATAGAGTCAAGCTTCAAAACTTTTAGATCTCGTGGTGAACTGTCACGTTTTTGCTAATTGTTTCTTGCTCTTTTGATTGACTTTAAGTTGTCATTGACATAATTCATAGATGTCTTCGGATATCCTGGGACCATCGAGAAAGTAACTCAGTTGTTAGGAAACGGGTACTAGGTAAGGATGGCAAATCAATTGAGGAAGTAGTGAAACCTAATCAGTTGAGATGTCTGGGACATGTGTTGCGCATGCCCGACCACCGACTGCCTCGACGAACAATGTTTCATGGTGTACGAGTACGTTAGAAGAAAGCTGGGTGCGGCCAGACCAAAACATGGCAGAAATTCATGAAGTCACTGACAAGTGGACTGAGCCACGTTGTTAGATGTAGACTACCTGGTTGCGATGATAGCAACCGATGGTTAGAGACCTTGAATGAGATGGATCAACGTCGTTTGCAATGGCTCAGGTGCATCCACTCTTTGTGTTCTCCCAAATTCTAATCTTCTGTATTCTTCATGTCCTTTATTTTCTTTCCAAATTTATTCCACTGCATTATACTCCTTAAATAACATCTTCAAACTTTAATCTTCCTGATTACTGCTTATACTTTTACTACTACTATTATGGGATTTCATTTGACAATTGTATCTTTGTGCTAATGTGGTATGTCAACTCGAACTGACGTATGTATGTACTTAGTTCTTTGTTGTTGATGACTGACTGACATTAACATAAAATTTGTGTTACACTGAAGCTCCAGAAAACCATTATCCTTCATCTGCCTTTTTAAAACTACACCTAAATTCAACTTTACGACGCTCAATATACGTACATTAGTAATTCTATATTGATGAAAAAGCTTTACAACTAAATTAATTGGTGTTTTTGTACTATTGATTCCTGTGAACTAGATTGTTTGATTCTGATACTTTTATTACTATTCTAGGCAACATAATTGTAATTCACTTTGTATTGTTTTTACTTGAATCTTCCTATTGATGTTTAGAACTGAAATTGATCAGTCTCTTAATGGCATATGTGCATATTGTGCGTATTGCCTCGATGTTGCCTTAATTTACAAGCATTATAAATAAAGATGTATAGTGGCTAGCAGTGAAATTTAGGATGCACGTTTCATCCTATTCGGGACTCGTCAGCTGCATGTACAAATAGAACGAATTATTTATTTATTTTAACACATAAGTATAGGTACAGGGAGGCACCAAATACATATGCGCCACACAAATCTCAATTGATTTGTGTGAGGGCTGTCATACTGCCCGAGTGCCCAAACCGAAGCAGGTGGTTTCCTTAGGGGGCCACACCCCGAGCCTTTGACCTGAACGTCTGATCCACAAGGCAGTGGAGCATCGTGAGGAGATGCAGTCCCATGGTAGCCGGTGACCAACGATTAGTTCATACGCCATTTGTTCCTTCAGGATACTGGAGCCACACCATGTGCACCATTGGTTTGGGATCCGGTTAAAGCGCCGGACATTCGCTTTTCGTCCTCTCATTTTTGTTAACAACACCCCTGCCACGAGAAGGCAGTGAGTAGGACTTTTCTAGTAGAGGCTATATACGCATGGCCATGTGAGAGCATTTCGAGAGTGAGAGCGGACTCTCCCCACTCTGGGCCATACCAGGGCATTTGGGGGCAATAGAACGAAACACGCGTCCTGAATTCCACTACTATCCACTATCCATCTTTGCTTATAACATTATTATTGTTTACTTCGTAAACAACTGAGCTTCTTAGTTATTTCAAAAGAATTAAATCATTTTGTTCTAGTATCTTTTCACTTGTAATTTTGTGTTCCATTAATATGTTGTCCTCAATATTTCCTGTTCATATCTATATCTGTTTTCATCATTAGATAGTGTTTTAACTTTGAAAGAACATGAAATTGACTATCTTACTAATCAATATTTGAATCTATGTAACTCAAAAATTACATAAAATGATTGTTTCCTTTATAATTTTACTTTTTGTAGAGACTCGAACATATGACTGTACACAATGTGGACAAAGTTTTCTTCGTCTCAACAGTTTCAAATATCATTGTTGTATAAAAAGTAAGTGTTGGTGTTCTTCATATTTCTGTAATGATAATTAACTTTTGAGAAAATCAAGTCACAATAATATCAATTTAGGGGTTGTGGAGATTGTTAAGATTTTGATTAAGATTATGAACCGATTGATGTTAGACCAACACTGAAAACCTGGAATCACTGAACGGCCGTTTCGTTCTATTGTGGGACTCCTCAGCAGTGCGTATCCACGATCCTGCTCTCGGGATTCAAACCCATGATCTTCAGTCTCGCGCGAACGCTTAACCTACTGGACCACTGAGCCGGCATCTAATGGTGTTAATGTCTAACCTCAACCAATCCACGAAATTGCGCGACCATCTTCCACTGTACTGAGGTAGATACCTGTCTCTACCCGACACGGATTAGTTTCACTGATCACGGGTTCTCACTAGAACTCCGAGAATTTTCTCTCAAAGCTCGGTTTTGAGGCGTACTTTCACTATGTGATGCCTAATGATGTTCACCTCTAACGTTCTAAAATGTATCAGGCGGAATAGACTTAAAACCCGTAACTTAGTAGCTAAATATGAAGTGATAATTTCATACATCGCTCTAAAATATTTTCTGATGTGTTCATCGTCTATACCCTTTACATTAATGAACTTCGTCAGTAACCGATTCTCACTGGGATTCCTGTGATACTTTTTGAAGTTAATAATTAATCAAGCTACATGATCATTATTATTAATTGTAGTAATAGTGAAGACATATCTACACAAACTAGATATTCCAGAAGGACGATCAGTATATATCTATATAATCAGAAGCTCTTAGTTGACCTATTAACTACTGTTATACGATCTATTATTTATTTATTTGAACACATAAATATTGGTACAGGGGGGCACCAAATATATATGCGCCACACAAAACAGTGATAATTAGAAGAGAAGGAGAAAAGAGAAGAAAAAAAAAAGTAATGAACGTGGGGAATTATAAAAAAAAGAAGAGAGAGAGAGAACAATGGTGGGGGAAACGGAAAGGTACAATCAGAACAGATCTTTCAGTTAAGGAAGAATACGACCACCTTTTTATGAAGAAAGTAAAAGAAGGTTACAGCAGGATCGCCATTGGCTTCTATTCTGAGCCATATCTGATAACGTCTCTAGCCACTGCGTTACACCATCTCTCGGACCCCAACCAGGGAGTCGTGAAGGACCAACAGAAGCTAGCCCTTTGCAGCTTTCTTTCATACCACGACACCATGTCATATACTGACCACCTCTCCGCTTTTTCCAACCAGTCCCAGAGTCGGCAAATAATGCACGACGAGGAATTCTCTGGGACGACATTCGTAGAACATGTCCAAGCCACCGAAGTCGGTGTTTCAAGATGGTGACACCAATTTCATTATCGTCTCTGTGACCGAACACTCGATGCCGAACCTCTGCATTACTGACATGGTGTTGCCACTGGATGCCAGCAATCCTTCGGAGACAACGATGATCGAACACAGAGAGTCGTCTAACATCCTCAACTCGGAGAGGCCAGGTTTCACAAGCATAGAGCAAAACTGCTCTCACCGTCGCGTTGTAGATCCGACCTTTTACAGCCAGACTAACATCACGAAGGCGCCAAAGATGGCCCAGATTGGCATAAGCCGCTCTGGCTTTCACTATACGTGCATTGATCTCATCACTCACGCCACCACCAGCACTTATGCAGCTACCTGGATACACGAACTTCTCGACTACTTCTATCTGCTCACCATCCAGAGTGAGTACAGGATTAGAATCCTGCCAGTCTTGTAGAAGTACTTTGCACTTCGAAGGTGCAAAGCACATACCATACCTACGGACACTGATTGCCAACTGATTAAGTGCGGATTGCATGGCTTGGGCATTCTCGCACAGTAAGACAATATCATCCGCATACTCAAGGTCGAGAAGTCTTTCTCCAGGCAACAGATCCACACCACCATTACTTACATCCGTCAGAGCTGTTTCCAGAATGTCATCGATGGCAAAGTTGAAGAGGAATGGTGAGATTGGGCAACCCTGCCTAACCCCACTGCTCGAATGGAACAATGGAGAAAGGTGGTTGTATGCCCTCACTCTGCCTAAGGTGTTTGTGTATAGGGCTTTTAGGATGTTAATAAACTTCTCAGGCACACCCTTCTTCAATAGACAATCCCAGAGAACAGTTCTGTCCAACGAATCGAAAGCAGCCTTGATATCAAGAAACACTACGATTGTTGGCCTTTGATAAGTATGGCGGTGTTCTAACACTTGGCGGAGGGTGAAGATATGATCAATACATCCTCGACCAGAACGAAACCCAGCCTGCTCCTCGCGAGTCAATCCTTCTCGGGTTCTGAACAACCTACGAAGTATGACGGAAGCCAATAGCTTGGACGCAATCGGAAGTAGACTTATCCCCCGATAGTTGTTACAGGAACAACGTGAACCCTTTTTAAAGATAGGGACAACTATCGACTCATTCCATGACGTTGGTACACTCTCTAGTTCCCAGATCTTTGTAAACAACGTCGTCAGTCCTTTAGTCAGAAAGTCACCACCATCTTTAAAAAGAGCCGAAGGTAAGTCGTCTGGGCCTGGTGATTTGTAACGTTTCAAGAGTTGGAGTTCCTTGCGGACTTCCGCCTCATTTGGTGGATCAGTCGTCACCGGCCAAGGAGGGCAGGACAGTCTGACCGATGTTGCCGGAGCAGCAGGCCAGTTGAACTGCCCTTCAAAGAATTCTGCCCATCGTCCAAGACGTCGATGGATGTTAGTGATTGGCGTTCCGTCATCCTCGCAAATTGTTTCGCTCACACCAGACTTCTTGCTGCCGGTGGCTCGGATGAGTTGGAAGAGCTTCCGGTAATTACCAGATGCAGCTGCTGCTTCCAACTCACTGGCACGCTCCGACCACCAGGTTTCTCGGTCCTTACGCAAGCTTTGCCCGATTTCATTACGTAACAACCTTCGTCTGTGGTCAAACTCACGGTCACCCGGAGTAGACCGACGGGCTTCAATCAGTTGTAAGGAACCAGAAGAAACCCAGTGCTTGTAAGCGGGACGTTTCGCAATCTCTTGACAGTTGGTTATCTGCATTCCCCCCCCCATACTCATAGCCACTGTTTGATTTGATCATATCATAATTGTTACCTATCATTTTATGATGTAATGTGGTCGAGTATGTCTGTGTATAAACTACGTATGTTTGAAATATAATATTCGCATAGTGGAGGGTGTTTTACTGTGTTCTAGACTCAACAGTCAAAGTAAGGAGAAAAGTTACTGAATTGAGGACCAATAAGGATTCAGAAGTGAATCAATGCTAATAGTACTGGTTGATGTGTCGTTGGTTGGGTAATGAAGAATTTATAGAAATGGATTGTTCGACATAACAAAACAACAACCATTGAACACTTATTCATTGAGATAGTGTGATGTATGCTATTCTGTGTTTGGACATAAGTAGTATGTAACATCGATCATAAGTGGAATACCTGACAGCAGAAGACTAAGAAGATTGAATTAATGAAAATAGAAAGGAATTAAGAATGGGAGGAATCATACAAAATATAAAGGACAATTGATGAAATATTTGCAAATGAATTATTTCGTGTAGTGTAAGATTGAAGGTGGTTAGTAGTGGAATCCATTTTGACTTGTGTTTCGTTCTATTTGGGACTCGTCAAATGGATACACCTGCACCCTATAGTTGACGTTCACTCCAGAACTCTAACACAATGCCATCACATTATCGGCTTTGCTACTGAGTCCTGATAGCCGCTTGTTTGTACAATGGGATGAAGTTTAAATTTACTTGTATCTTCCTATTTTATGTTTAGGACTGTAATTAAACAGTCTCTTATTGGCATATGTGCTTACTTTGCGGATCGCCTCGATATAACCTTAAGTCACAATTGGATGATACAAGCAAACAATACCAAGTGAATTTATTTAATATATGGTTATGATATTTTACGAAGATATTCTGTAATTTTCTATTGAATAATGAATTAGTCAACACCATCTGAGTTCTCGTTCACTACTACTATAGCAGAAAATGTCAGTTTACAAATATGAGTTCAAATAAAGTCTCTACAGTCTTCTTTATGCTTTAGAATTTCTGTTTATTATGAGTCTATAAAAGATCTGACAATTTTAGATCTTTCTTACAGAACTAAATATTAACTTACGTACTTACTTACGCCTGTTACTCTTCATGGAGGAGCATAGGACGCCCATCAGCACTCTCAATCCAACTCTGCCCTGGGCAATTCTTTACAGTTGTTATTCATCCTTTACATATCCGCTTCTATTTCCCGACGTAATGTGTTCTTTGGCCTTCCTCTTTTCCGCTTTCCTTCAGGATTCCAAGTTATCACTTGCCTCGTGGTGCAGTTTGATGATTTCCTCAATGTATGTCCTATTCATTTCCATCGTCTTTTCCTAATTTTCTCTTCAGTTGGAAGTTGATTTGTTATCTCCCACAGAAAGCTGTTGCTGTAGGTATCCGGCGAATGGATGTTGAGTATGTTGCGTAGACAGCTATTGATAAATACTTGTACCTTCTTGATGATGGTTGTTGTAGTTCTCCACGTTTCATCTCCGTACAGTAGAACTGCCTTGACGTTGGTATTGAAGATGTTGATTTTGATATTGGTTGACAGACAGTTGTTTTGAGTTCCATATGTTCTTCAATTGAAGGAATGCGGCCCTTGCTTTGTCAATCCTCGCTTTTACGTCTGCATCCTCTTTTAATTTTATTTATTTTTTTTCATATTGTTAGGACATTGATTTGTTCCTTCAAGAATATAATTTATGATTATGTTCTGCTTTCTCAGATAAATCGACTAGTGTGAAAACCGATGATAACTCTGCATTATCATCATCATCATTATTAACAACCTCAAATCAACTATCTTCACTTCAATCACCCGTCACTACTCAACAATCGACAACATCATCAGATTTCCCTACACCTTTATTAGGTATTGTACCACCAGGATCATCAAATAATTCAAATCTTACAGCTATTGCAGTTCTATCAGCTGTAGTCTCAAGTTTTGGTCTATCAGCATTATCTTCAACTTCTTCTGAATTTACGCCTAATGTACTCAAGTCTACCGATAATATAAACAATACAGATTCTAATTGTGGTAAGATTGGATTATTTCAAACGAATTTAAGTATTCATTAGTAGTTATAGTTTGTTTTTTTAATCTTGTCAAATAGACCAGTGTGTATATTACATAATTTACTATGTTTTAATTTCACTTTTAACACCAATGGTAAACAGTTATTGGAGAGATTTTCCTCCAACTTTCTGGACAACTCTTCACGGCTTTCATTATAAGGCGTTATAATCCTTCTGAATGAAGATCGTTCAACTCGGAGGTCAGAGTTTAAATGGTTTGAATCATTTACTCTGTTTAGCATTTTTTTTAGCTAGGTTGTTTCTAGGCGATAAGTTTGCTAACTCCCATACCCAGCTCTCCTCTTTTACTTGGGTAACTGGTAGTAACCCTATAAGAGCTACAGGTAGAGTTCAGAGTAATGTATTCGACTGTAAACCTCGACATGTGTATGTGTAGTGGTTTCGGTGGGTTATAACTATTACCTTGGTATCCATGCGAAATGGTTTCTCTGGTTTACCTACTGTATTATCCATTTTTAATATCATTCACTTCAATATAAACAACAGGATGATTTCAGTAAAACCAGTCAGTCTCAACATAGAATGTTTGCAACTTATGACTGAAATATTTTCTGAATGTCCATAAGTAAATTATCAAATAAAGTTGATTTTCTTGTTGACAACCTTATATTTTTGTTTTTATTCTTATTGTTTTCAGTGTCTACTGAACAATCTTCCACACTTCCTACTCCTTTACTTGAGTTGGCACAATCACTTCCAAACTTTTTCTTTAATAGTCCTGCAGTCACAACAACGACGTCTTTAGACTCTTCCTCTACTCCTAATGTTATTGTTAGCACTGCTGAACAAACACCTTTAACGAATCATGCTACATTAACGAATGCTTTAGCTGTTCTCAATACGTTCACTTCTTCATTACCTACAAATGGATTTCATTTGCCAAATATGAACAGTACTTCCAATATTAAACAATTAACTAGTAGTACCGATGAGAATACAATTAAGACAGAACCAATCACTACTAGTACTACTGTCACTGAAATTGATCCATCTATATTAATTTAATAAAAAGGTAAAATTTGATTCTTAGCTGTTTTCATTCTTTAATTTCCTTAAGTTTCATTTGATATAACTGTTCATATGTTGAATTGTAGTTTTAAGAAATACACTATGATCTTCAGTTCAATTCAATCATGATACTCACATTTTGATATGAGTTCAGGCCGCTAACTAACGTCACAAAACCACCAATCAGAATATCGATTTCTATAACTTTCTCCATTACTCAACCAACGATATACCAACCAGCACTATTAGCATTGATTCACTTCTAAATCCTTATTGGTCCTCAATTCAGTAACTTTTCTCCTTACTTTGACTGTTGAGTCTAGAACACAGTAAACACCCTCCACTATGCGAATATTATATTTCAAACATACGTAGTTTATACACAGACATACCCGACCACATTACATCATAAAATGATAGGTAATAATTATGATATGATCAAATCAAACAGTGGCTATGAGTATGAGATGGCCCCCAAATGCCCTGGTATGGCCGAGAGTGAGGCGGGTCCTCCCCCTTTCGAAATGCTCTCACACGGCCACGCGTATACAGCCCCTGCCAGAGAAGTCCTACTCACTGCCTTCTCGTCGCATTACTTTTGTTTACGAAATGGAGAAGACGAAAAGCGAGTGTCCGGCGCTTTAACCGGATCCCAAACAAATGGTGTACATGGGCTAGCTCCAGTATCCTGCGGGAACAAATGGCGTATGAACCAATCGTTGATCACCGGCTACCATGGGACTGCATCTCCTCACGATGCTCCACTGCCTTTTGGGTCAGACCTTTGAGTCAAAGGCTCAGGGTATGGTCCCCTAAGAAAACCGCCTGCTTCCATCTGGGCACCCAGGCAGTATCACAGCCCACACACATAAGATTTTGTGTGGCGCATATATATTTGGTGCCCTCTTTTACCGATATTTATGTGTTCAAATAAATAAATAAAATAACATACTATCGAGAGATTAAGAATAGTAGATCGTATAATAGTAGTTAATAGGTCAACTAAGAGCTTATGATAAATAAGTATCCATATATATTCAACATGTAAGTCTCCATTATTTACTGGAAAATTGTTAATGCTGGTTTTACACTGAACGGTAATGGGATAAATTGAAACCATGGTGATTATTAATGGTTAGGAACTCCTTTGAAACTTTGTCAACTCTTACTCGTAAGTAAGTTTCAAATGAACTAATTCGGAAAAATAACATCCACCGTTTAGTTTAACATATATTAACTCTCTTGTAAGAGTAGTGGATATGAATGATTTGGTAAAGCACCATTTAATTCAGTTGAAAAGCTTGTACGGAGACAAATACTTCCGTTTGCGTCATGAACTATTACAATTTGGGATGCCCATGCCGAATAATCAATGAGTTGTATGACAATGAGACTCTAGTCAGTTTAATTCATTGTCAACTCTATCAATGGACGCATATGGTACTTGATGTTTTGGACGAAAGATGGACTTCACATCTTGTCGTAAGTATAATTTAGCTTTGCCAATTATACAGCATCCGAACTTATTCTGGAACAAGTCTGTATGTTTCCACAAAAGGTTTTCTATCGTCATGGCTTTCTTAATTACACGAACGATGGGCAAACCTCTTTGACTATTTGAACTTTTCATAGTACATATTTCGCTCAATAGTACATCTCATAGATTTAGCTTGTCTATACAATCTGTACCAATTAGGTTCAAATCGTGTATGTTCATTAAATAATTTCCTGTGAAGTAGTTATTTCGGAATTCAACAGAACATTTTGTTTTTCCAACAAGCTCTAATATATCCCCGGATACATCCAGGGTTGTATTCAGTCGGTAATACATATGGACAACCAATTAAATTTCATATCCTTTTAGAGTCTCCCTACTCATAGCCACTGTTTGGCTTGATCATATCATAATTGTTACCTATCATTTTATGATGTAATGTGGTCGAGTATGTCTGTGTATAAACTACGTATGTTCGAAATATAGTATTCGCATAGTGGAGGGTGTTTACTGTGTTCTAGACTCAACAGTCAAAGTAAGGAGAAAAGTTACTGAATTGAGGACCAATAAGGATTCAGAAGTGAATCAATGCTAATAGTGCTGGTTGATGTGTCGTTTGGTTGGGTAATGAAGGAATTTATAGAAATGGATTGTTAGACATAACAAAACAACAACCACTGAACACCTATTCATTCATATAATGTGATGTATGCTATTTTGTGTTTGGACATAAGTAGTATGTAACACCGATCATAAGTGGAATACCTAATTGAGGAAAATAGAAAAGAATTGAGAATCGAAAGAATGATACAGAATTTATTTATTTTAACACATACGTATTGGTACAAGGAGGCTCCAAATACATATGCGCCACACGAATCGCAATTGATTTGTGTGAGGGCTGTGATACTGCCCGGGTGCCCAAACCGAAGCAGGTGGTTTTGTTAGGGGGCCACACCCCGAGCCTTTGACCTGAACGTCTGATCCACAAGGCAGTGAAGCATCGTGAGGAGATGCAGTCCCATGGTAGCCAACCGGTGACCAACGATTGGTTCATACGCCATTTGTTCCTTCAGGATACTGGAGCCAGCCCATGTGCACCATTGGTTTGGGATCCGGTTAAAGCGCCGGACATTCGCTTTTCGTCCTCTCATTTTCGTAAACAACACCCCCGAAACGCCAAGGCAGTGAGTAGGACTTCCCTGGCAGAGGCTATATACGCGTGGCCATGTGAGAGCATTTCGAGAGGGAGAGCGGACTTTCCCCACTCTCGGCCGTACCAGGGCATTTGGGGGCAATGATACAGAATGTGAAGGGCAATTGATGAAACATTTGCAAATGAAGTATTTAATGTATGTTAAGATGGATAGTGATTAGTAGTGGAATCCATTTTGACTTGCGTTTCGTTCTATTTGGGACTCGTCAACTAGATGTGCCTGTATCCTCGAGTTAATGTTCACTCCAGAACTCGTCTCAATGGTATAACTAATGTGATACAACATTGTTAGAATGAGTTTGGTTATAGTGACCGAATTTAATAATATCACTAAATGGCATACTTGGACGATACTCATTACATAGATGAAATTATGGTATATTAGGTCCATGGTTCACGACCAAAAATAGAAAATTGAAGTATTTTGTGACAATACTTTATCCTGCATAATTACAAACAGCCACTCTTAATTAGTTCGTAGTAAATAGAAATAATAAGAAAAGAAATCAGATATTTAATGCTTATTTAGTTGAGTGACTTTTTGTTGTCCACACTTAGAGTCGCTAATCACAGTAACTTTACCTACTACATATCCGTTGGCATAAAAGTCTATAGGAATTTTTCTAATTTCCCAGTAAGAATCTCAAATTCAGACAGACTAGTTTACACCTGTGACCACTAGCTCAACACTGACGAAGGTTACTTGTGTATTTTTGGAGTATAATATCTTCGGTACTATGATGGGACATATTCGAATATTGCGGTAAATTTGCTGTCGTCTCTAGGTAGTGTAAGGAGGATTGTTAAAATGTAGGTTATCTAGACAAAAGAAAGTTCTTAATAACGAAACACTTATTCAGATTAGGTAAGGTTTTTGTATTATTTCATTAGTCCTTCGCAATGTAGAACAAAAGGCTTCAATAAATGATGGTTTCAAAAAATTTCCTAATCAAATATTTTCCATATGAGATGTATAATACAATTTTAGCATAGGTAAAAGCTTTCTCAACAATTATCTCAGTTTCAGTTCTAGTTTTCACGTTTTCTGTGGTATTTTATCCCTTTCCGATTGACCCTCAAATACCCTGGTACGGCGGAAAGTGGAGAGAGATAGTCCTCCCTCTCAAAATGCTCTCACATAAACACGTGCATACAACCACTGATAGGGAAGTCCTACTCACTACCTTCTCGCCGTATTACTGTTTTTTACGAAATCGATAACACGAAAAGCGAATGCCCGACGCTTTAACCGGGTTGGTGGATATGAAAGATTTACTCAGGGGAGTTGAAGAACCCTGATTCTAAACCAATTGTACACATGGGCTCTAGTATCTTGAAGGAACAAATACCGTATGAACCAATTATTAGTCAACAGCTACCATGGGACTGCATCTCCTCACGTCGAATGCTTGGGGTTTGATCCCCTAAGAACACCATCTGCTTTGGTTTGGGCACCTGGTCAGTATCCTAACCCTCACACAAATCAAATGACTTATATGGCATATATCTATTCGATACCTTCTTGTAACACAGAATGTTTTTGATTAGACTTTCACTAGTGTATAGATCACATATTACTTGTAAAGTATCATTTAATGTTCTTATCCATGAAATGGAATATTAAACTCAAGTTTTTATTCAATTCCTTACAACATAATAGAAATATATAAACTATGTTATCAGATGTTGATGTTGTTGTTGTTATTATTTTTCGATCTTTTTGTCATATGTAGATATATCCAAGATTTCCGCATATCCTATAGGATCTATTATTCCAGGATCCAAAAGGATCATTTTGCCAATTAAACACTTACTTGTTCAACATTTATCTACATCATTTTTATGTTCTTGTTTCTTTAAAAATAAATTAGAACAGATAACTACTTTACATTTATCCATTATATCACTTTCAACTTAATTGTATAATCAATCATTCATCATTGTACAAATTTTTATTGAATCTCTTTTTATGTACATTGAAAATTAAAAAGAATTAATTAATGGAACTTTTTTTTATTTTGATCCTGAAGTGTATAGACTAATGGTGTATGCATAAGGTTATGATTTAATCTGTCTTTGTATTATCCTATGAATTATTAATAGAGATCTTTGAACACATTGCTCGTATATCCTGGGACCACCGAGGAAGTAATGAAGTTGTTAGGAAACCGGTACTAGGTAAGGATGGCAAATCAATTGAGGAAGTAGTGAAACTTAATCAGTTGAGATGTCTGGGACATGTGTTGCGCATGCCCGAACAACCGACGTGCGATGATTTATGGTGTA